TGAGGTGTGCTATATTTAGACTTTCTGCTTAGAGTACAGCATTTTCTCACAAGGAGATAAGAGGGTGCCTCTTGGATCAATGCTATGAATGGGGTTGGTAATGAATTATCTCCCTGTGGAGCCTTAATAAAAAAGACATGTATCATCTCAGCCAGCTGCATGCTTTGTGTTCATTGGTCACTGTGTTTAATTCTTATTATCTATTCACAGTACTGAACTGTTTTGCTTTTTTCTGTTGCTGTTGTAATAACAATATCAGCTGTGTGTATGGTTTTTCACTTTGGTATACTATTGGCCAAAATTGTGGAAACACTTCTAATTTTTATAAATTGCAGAATTTTATTCCAGTTATTCCAATTACTTATTTAATTATCCAGTGTATGATTCTTGCAAATATTCTTTGATTGTTTATAAACATTACCACCAATATTTGTGTAATAGTTTTTAAAACATTATGCAAAAAATGCTTGGTGTTTCCACTATTTTGGCCACTAGTGTAGTTGCTCCTTTACAGAATTAAAATTCTAACACAGATTATTAGTGGTCTGTTCAGTTCCAAATTTTAATGACTATCTTGAAAATACCTGCCAACTCCAGATAACATTTCTAATGTTTGGCTGCATCAGAATGCTCAGTCCGTATTATCAGTCCCAGAACATACATATTGAGACAAACATACAGGCTGGCAAAAGGGAAAGTGTTATCAATTATCAGAGGAGTGTATTTTCTTTACAGCTGTTTTAAAAACACATAATCATGATTAATCAGGATTAATTTATGGCAACATATGTGGGTTGATCAATGCCTTAATATTAGGGGTGAAACAAAAACGTTACATGCTACTTTTACATTTTTTGCAAACTATTTGAACTAGTTTCTTCTGGGAGCAGAGTAGGAAGGTTAGAGTCAGAATAAATACAAAGGCATTCCTTAAGTTGATAATCTTTTGGAAAAGCTTTATACAACCTTCCATAGAGTTAATAATTTGAACTTAAATACTGCACACACAAATTTAGCAACACACATATCGTCTTTTGTACCTGTAGGCCTACTTTGTGCTTTAAGGTGCAGCAAAGCATTTTCAGATGTTTGGTATTGCTTTTGTATTGCTTAGTGTATCCCAGGCTGTGCAGAGAGTTACAATGTAAAATCCCAGTCTTGTACATTAAAAAGAGGTCTTACATTACAAATGTACACCTGGTCACCTACTGGACTAGTGAAATGTACACCTGGTCACTCTGAAGACTGTGCATAAATACAGAAAATATAGAAGGTATACAGAGTTAAAGTAATAGTATACTTTACTATAGAGTGTGCATATAGAGAAAAACATGTCAACAAAAATGTAAGTAAGAATAAATGTTTTAGTTGTGCAATGAACACTTCTTATTTGATTTTATTTGCAATTGGTTTAGATTAGCGATGTAAAATGATAAAAATGTTTGTAATTTTGACATGGCAATAGTGGCCTTGTGGTTTGTGATACAAATGCCTAAAGGATGCTGTAACTGATTATTTTTGAGCTGCTCTCTTCAGAAGGCATAGCAGAAGAATACTTAATATGGTGTGAGACCATTTGGCTTAATACGTAAAATATTTTAAAGAGCTTCGAGAAGGCTGAAAGTTGCATAGTGTATAATGCCTCTTGCTAAAATGGAATTCATTTTGTGGGTGGTGCTGAAGGACAGCTCCAAGCCCTTTTGCCAGTAGGTGTCAGTATTGCAATATTTCAGGCTCTTCAAGCTTTTCTCAGACTCTTTGTGTTTAAATTACAAAGGGCACATTTAATATTTATTGGGGTGTAAATCTTTGGTCACAAGGCGATTCGATTGCTGTTGTTGAGGGAACGATTTGATGAGTCAGAAGTCTTTCATTTCTATCACGAATCGATTTGATTATGGTAACATAAATTCAAACCTTTTGACTTCACTGAGGTTTTTTTTTAAGTATTAGCATGGGCACTTAATTATACACTATTAATGGAATACAAAGAAAGCAGAACTTCTGAATTTATATTATTAAACAGGGAAAGAAGCCAGTGTAAACTGTCAAACGGCCAACTACTGAACTGTAATGAAAACACATCAAGGAAGTACTATTGATTTGGGGATTAGTGGAATGACATTATATTGTTTTTTATTTAGTGGAAAATGAAAGATTGATCAGCGGCACAGATTTAATAATGAATTATGATGATGTCGCTGGCTGGTAATTAGAGACCTCTGATGAGTGATGAAAGACCCAATGAAATCCCTCACCCTCCATGACAGAAGATGCCTGATTGTCCAGTGAGAATGTCTCTATTGGAGTTTGAGTATCTTTACATTACAGATCAATGTGTGTGTGTGTCTGTGTGTATGTAATATGTAATATAATGTGCGTGTGTATATATAATAGTGTTTCTTCAACGGTACTTTACAAGAAAATTTGTTACAATGTTACAAACACTTAGGCAAGAAAAACATGAAAAAAATCAGCTGTTGAGTTACTCCTCAATGTAAATGTATATGCTCAGTTTCTCTGTTTCAAGACTTGGGGTCAATTTCATTGTGAAGAGATCTGACAATTTACTTCAAAATTAATTTACTTTCTCTAATTGCAATTAAGTGGTATGTTTTGGTAGACTGATTTGTCCAGTTGTCAAAATCAGAATGTACATTTTATGTTAACAGACATGTCAGTAGTAATGTGAGAATTGACCTCAACTCTGAACCCACTTCATTATTAATTTGAAATGCTTCTTTCGATGCACTGAACTACCGACTGGAGTACCATAACGGGGATTTTGGCATTTTTGCGATCTGTATCTGATATCCTCTTCCCCTCCCTTTCCCTTGCGTACGTTTGGCCCCCAGGTCGTAATATTTTTCAAGGTATGTATATTTTATTGAAAGCAAGAAAAACAATATGTCAGTTGTCCTGGGGGATGTTTGTAATCCTCATTAACACAACACCATTTTTGTTTTAAATGAATAGATGGTTTTGACAACCGGGCAGAGTCAGTTGGTGTATGACGGCAATTTTGCTTAATTTGGGGAGAATGCTAAAGAAGAACACATGAAAAAGTTGTTTTTTTTTTGTTTGATCTGTTTCAGTAGAATTATTTAATCACTCACTTGCAATCTTAACACTTTCTGAAATATAACGCTGTACCCTACAGTGAGTGGAAAGATGAGGCTGCATGCTGTCACAATGACTAACTGCTTTCGTTTGGCTGCACTGCCTGCAGAGAAGGTACAGTGCTCAGGACGCTTGCCTTAGCCAGAATGTTGATGATAAATCCACGGGGTACATTTGGCTCTTTTGTTGTATATTACATTTCAGAAAGATATAAGGTAAATGTATTGATGTTGAGAAATATTTTACATGATTTTTTTTTCTGCTCAGAATGGTTTATATGCCTATTATTACACGTTATAATATTTATAAATATAGTTTCTTTTTAAAATCCAGCACCACGACAACCTTGATGCGATGACACAATTTCCAATGTACGGTTTATCAGTGGTGCAGAAGATGTGAAGTGCAAGCTTTTTGTTTCTGTTTGAAAGAGTGAAAGGTTTAGGGTGACAGCCTTTCAGATTGCCGAATGGGTATGGGAAGAAGCATTAAGCTAAGACAAATATGCTAATGCTTCATTTCTTTTGCTGTTATAGTGGGTGTTATAGTTTGTGCCCTGTCTCATTTTTGGATAGAATTGGCAAAAGCCTGTTTTCATTCAGTTATCTCTAACTGGCCATCAAATGCTGTCCCAAGTGGACAGGAGTGATATTGCGGCTGTGGATGCAGAGGGTCTCCAGGCCTTATGCATGTCTTTCAGCTGCAGTAACCCGGTGTGTTTAGACATGCTCTAGCATTGACAAGGCTGCCTGTATAAATGCTACTGTGAATGGCTTATGCTTGGCTGAAAAACGGAAAAGTTCGGAATCTGATGCTGCCGCACCTGTGTCAACAGGAAAGGATTTAGTGTGATTTCAGATGTATATGGATAAAAGCTTTAAAAGATTTGCATTTCACAGTATGCAAGCTTCATGGCCGGAGTACCTTGCTAGTAACAAATGATTAACCTGAAATAAAAGCTGAATGTTCTCAGAAATCATTTTAGATAGGAACAACAAGCAGGGCCTCTGATTAAATCATCTTCTGTGGCTGGTTTCCAGTTGAAGTACTCTCAAGAGTTGGGGTGAACTGTAATGTAGCATCCTACAGCATTACTGTATTGAAGTTCGGGTAAGCTGCCATTGCTGTGAACATCACTTACGCGCCCCCTCCCCAGTTCATGCCTAGCCACACTGGGGGGAGGGAATTTATTGTTGTCTATGATATATATATATATTTACAAATTATGGTGAAGAAAATGGAGAAAAAAATCTATTGACTCCGAAGGCTGCTCTTCTTCTCTTGGTTTGGTTTCACAGCTACAGGTTGTGTGCAGGGAAGTAGATAACCATTACAAACGGCAAATGCTGAGCTCTCCTCATAACCCCGAAATAAATTTAGTGGTAATATGCTGTGTTGCTTCGAGGTAGGTATCTGTAAGCTGCCCGGTCATGTTGAGTCTGACTTCACTTTCATACTCAGCAGGGTGGTCCGCAAACCAGTGCAAAGACATGAGGTTTATAGGATCATTTCTCCACGTGATTTTTGTCAATTAGGGATAGCTTGCTTACCTGTGAAATTTTGGCCTGATTGTGAAATGTACTCCATTCTAAATATTTTATTTGTATTTGTTACTATGTACATATTCCTTCTTAACTGGATAAGTGATTAGTAACCAATTAAAAATATATTAAACAGAAAATTGCACTTGGTGTCTGAGTAAGATTCCAATCTCACAATCTTCACAACTGCAGTGTTTTTTCCATAGGAAAGTTCAGATCTCTTCAGAGTTGGACAGAACAGCTAACACCCTAAAGAGGCCCTTTGTGTCATTGTGCTATAATGAAAGTTGCATTTTTGGTGTATTACTGGAACTTTATCAAATTCTCTCTTTTCTTCAGACGATGCAAGCAGCTCGATGCCCAACAGATGAGCTTTCACTGACTAACTGTGCTGTGGTGAGCGAAAAGGACCTTCAGTCTGGGCAGTAAGTACAACCAGTTGTAGTGAGACAACTGATATACAGAGAAGTCATTGTTTCTAATTTGTTTTTGTTTCTTCTCAGATATTTATGAATCCCTTTTGTGATACAAAAGGCTATTATAGATAGATTACCTGCAGACCAGATTGAGTATGTTGTCTATCAATGGTGCAACAATAAAATATTTATATAATTAAAATATTTATATAACACAAAATATGATATTTGTACTCCATTTTTAACTTAATGTCTATATTAGAGATGCACCGATTCGATATTCGGATCGGTATCGGAGCCAATCCAGACCTGCTTGACGGATCTGGTATCAGTCATATGTGACCAATCCACTTCCAATACTTACTTATTTAGGTTTCTCTAAACATTCTCTAAAAAGATAGCTCCTACTTCGTGTTAAATCTATTTGTACAATCAATTGCATGACAGCTCTTTCCCATTTTAGATGTGCTTTTGTGACATTCAAGCTGAACACTAATGCTGCCCCTCAGTTTTTTGCTACTCAGTGTGTGTGAGCGCAGTGACTTCTGCCTCCTGCGATGTCATGCATATACAGGAGCGTAAGAACATCAGCTAAGAGGATGACGATCTGGAAGTCTTTGATGCTTTTAACAGCAACTAGTAGGAAAGCGGTTTGCAGTCTTTGTAAAAACAAAGTTTTGAGAGGTGGGAGTAGCATTTAGTGGAGTGTGAGACAACGTGAGTAATTTGAAAAAAACAATAGATGATTTGGGACTCGCTAGCTTAGGCTGTTTTGTGCATTTGCTGCAATTTGAGGGGCTGCTATTGCAACGAAGTGTAAGTGACCTTGTTGCCAGTGTGAGAAAAATTGTGGAGCATTTTAAGGAGTAACATTGTCTTTCTATTTGTTTATTCTAGAACAGTAAGGATGTAGAAAACCTATCATTATTAGTTTTAAATACTAATTAATTGATAGTGAAACTAACTACATTTTTAATTTATTGACTCTGTCCCATTCTCTCAATATGTGTTAATCAGATATGTTCCTCTGAGTTTTTTGAATAATGTGTTGTTGTAATTTCAACTGTTTCTGTTCTACAGGCTACTCAGATCTGATTGTTTTGTTAACCCGCTGCTATTCCCTGCAGACATGTGACTGTGAAGACCACACCCACCCACAAGTTCGTCTTCACTGTCAAGAGCCACCACAGTGTGGTTCCAGGGACGATTGCTTTCAGTTTACCACAGGTATAGTTGAAAGATATCTATTTATTGTATGCCCTGGACAGGGAATGCGTCTGGTTTTAGGACCAGTCCACCGCCCTGCAAATGCTTTCTTGTTAAGACAATAACTCAAAAATTATTTTATGAATGATTTTCAAATGTTGCAGAGGCATTTCATGTATAACAACCTGCAACTGATTAAGTTTCGAGACAGATCAGCCAAAAACGAAAGGGGCGTCATAGTGATATCAATGAAAAGGACAGTTTTGACACTTGATTTTGTTAGAATGATAGTTAGAACTGAAAAAGTATTTGAAGGATCTTTGGAACTTTGTAGGCACATTGTATGGGTGAGGAACTGGGACCGGCCAAATTTCGAGACAACTTGTCCCAAAATTGAAGCATTGCTGCTTAGTGGCAGCAGAAGGGGAATGGTGATAGCAGGTGACATTTAAGGCCCTGTTCACATCTGTTATTAACATGCGTGATCCGATTACAAGTAGACAGCACAGGTGTGAGCGCACCCAAAATGCATTGAAAACGCATCGAGATCTGATTGCTCAAGCCACATTCAGAGGTGGCAAAATTAAAGCGTGTAGGTAAGAATGTTCTTTCAAAAGTCTACATAATGGATATGTTAATAGAAACATACAGTGGTACCTCAGTAATCGAACTCATTAGAACTCTAATTTCTTAAAAGTCGAACCAACCAGTTAAAAAAAAATGACCTAGAACTCGATCTGAATCTCAGAAGTCGAACCGTGAACTCCGACCTAAGATAACTTGTACGCGCGGGGAAATGAGTCACGTGGCATGTCTCTCAGTGGAAACAAAGGGTAATGCTTCAGTCTCAGCCTCGCATTCTCTGTGATAGCATTGGTTGTTGGTGATAGTGCTTTTTTATTGAAAATATCAGGTATACACTGTACTTTATATCATTTTGGTAGCCATTGCTCACCAAAAGTTATGCAATAGTTGTACAAATGTTACAACCTAAAAGTTTGCGATTTACAAACAAATTAACGAATACAGAGTAATAATAAAAATAAACAATGGACCGCATGGCATACACTCACTTTATTTTTTTCTCATGTTTTGCTTTTGTTCCTACATTAAATACCAATTAATTGGTTTTCCATTATTTCTTATGGGGAAAATTCGATCAGAACTCGAACTTTTTAGGATTCGTACCTGAGTTCTGAATGGATTAAATTCGAGTTCTAAGGTACCACTGTATAATAGTATGATTGTTTATATGGTTTTGTATTGGGCTGTCTGGGAGCTTGAACTCCCAGTCAGAAATCCAGTCCCACCCTGTCCCTGACTACTTTTACTTAACTTGCTCCAAGTCAGACATATAATTCAGCGTATCAGACAAAAATAATGAACCTCTTTGTTGAAATTTTCACAAATTTTGAGCAAAATTTGAGCTCGATTAAAAGGCGAAATATTATCATATGGCAACCAACACAATGCATTACAGACTGAACCCTTTGCCCTTGAATAAAAAAGTATTAGCCTGCCCTCAGTATATCTTAGACTTTTTTAATATGTACATTTGTATCATTTTGACACGGTATAAAAATGCATGCTTACAATGTGAAAAATTGAACTATATTGTGAAATTATTTTCACATTTCACATTTGCATTATGGGAAATAATTTGTGTTGAGGTGAAAATAACAGCGTTATTGCGAAATACAATTTAAAGATTATCTGTAATGTAATACCTTTTATTGAATTATTTAAAAATAAAGGGGAGAATTTCCTAGTTCCAGAAAACGGTTCTGGTTACTGAGACAATTTCCTGTGATGGGAAAGTACCCATTAAGACAAGTCACACAAAGTGCTCCAGGGTCACCAAATAAATGGCCTGCCTGATACATGGCCCTGCATGCCAGCAATCACCCTGTATTGAAAAATAAAATACGTCCCATTTCACACCAATATAGCAATGTGATTTGTCTCAAAATGTTTGGACTGTGTGATCAACCCCTCCCCCCTGCAGATTTTATCGTCATGGACCCAGGGAGGTGGGGGATGGCCTCCCTTATTTTAAAAAGTGTTAGTGGTAACCCGAGTGACGATTGATTTGTTGGCGAAGCTGTGCAACTTCATTTAACCAAACACAATGACACAGTGAAGAAAAACAATGAGATTCTGAAAAGGCTGATTGATGACATTTAATTTTTGGACAGGAGCTGTTATTCAGGGGACATGATGAGTGAAAACTGTCGGAAACTATAGATGTGCCTTCCCACTATGACCATGTTCTGTTTTTGTTAGTGTCATGATATAATGTAGAGCATGGGTTGCTAAACGTTTCAGTCTGTGATCTTGATATTGATGACCTGGAGGGTGGGAGTCCCATCACTCGATGGGGGGTTCCGTCTTGGTAGATGTAATGCAATTACTTGTCTTACAGTTAATATGGAATGACATTTTTTAATTTGTAACATGTCATATTGTGAGAATCAATTTGCAACCTCTAACTGCTTTCTCACAACCACCAGAGGGGGTCCCCCACATGTACAGTAGGGCAAAACAGTAAAGCTGTGTGACCTAGGGTTGAGACCATGGGCTGAGAGATATATACAAATGTAGTCAGCCCTGCATCTTACCTCGGTTTGAACAGTTGTGATTTGGGAAACAGCTTTAACGCCAAAATGCACAATTTCAAATTGGTGTGCAAAGTGCGTAAGCGTGGATTGAGCTTGATGTGTGTCAGCACACTGTCTGTTGTTCAGACATCCACTGCTCAGCTTCCTAACTTAGTTGTTATCAAGCACTGGTTTGTGGCAGTGCTGTACTCGTACTGTAATGTGCATGTACAATGTCATTTTTCCCTAAACAATACATTATAATAACTACAATGCTATTTTCACATAGAATTTACATTATATAGATACAGTTCTGTAATCTAGGCATGATTTAAAGTATACGACAAGTTGGGAATAGGTGTATATGCAAAGTAAATAGGAAGTGAGCAGTCATTTCTTGAATTGACGTGTTAGAAGCAGGAAAAATGTGCAAGCATACGGATAGGGAGCATCTCCAAAATGGCAGGTCTTGTGTGGTGTTCGTGTTATGCAATGGTCAGTACCTCCCCGAAGGTGCTGGCTATGATAGAAAGGTGTCAGAACACAGAGTGCATCGCAGCTTGTTGCATATGGGGCTGCATAGCCAAAACCCAGTCAGAGCACCCATGCTGACCCCTGTCCACTGGTGAAAGCACCTGTCAGAACTGGATCGTGGAGCAATGAAAGAAGGTGGTCTGGTCTGATGAGTCATGTTATCTGTTACATCATGTGGATGGCCAGGTGCATTTGTGTCATTTACCTGGGGAAGAGATGGCATCAGGATGCACTATGAGAGGTAGCGTGATGTTCTGTGTATTGTTCTACTGGGAAACCTTGGGTCCTAGTATCCATGTCGATGTTACTTTGACACGTATTGCCTAAACATTGCTGCAGACCAAGTACACCCCTTCATGACAACGATATTCCCCTGTGGCAGTGATCACTCTCTGCAGGATAATGCATCCTGCCACACTGCAAACATTATTGCGGAATGGTTTGAGAAACATGAGTTCAAGCTGTTGACTTGGCCTCCCGATTCCCCAAATCTCAATCCAATCAAGCATCTGTGGGATGTGCTGGACAAGCAAATCTGATCCATGGAGACCCCACCTCTTATTGGACTTAAAGGATCAGCTGCTAACTTCTTGGTGCCAGATACCACAGAACACCTTCAGAGGTCTTGTGAGGTCCATGCCTTGAAGAATCAGAGCTGTTTTGTTAGCACAAGCAGGGCCTACACAATATTAGTAGGTGGTTATAATGTTATGGCTAATTGGTGTATGTGTCATGACTAGGACTCAGAGCATTCAGGTAAAAAAACATTTATCGCCTTTCACATTTCCAGTTGATCCATCAAGTTATTCTAGAAATCGTAGCGGTTGGGGGGTGTGGGAGGACAGGGCTGTCTGGGGAGTACATTTCTGTCATTCCGACAGCATCCTTTCTAGTTTTTTGTGTTTTGTGTGCAGTACATTGATTATTAGGAAATCACGAGTCAGAGCACTTCACCCATGTATTTTGTATGGTTCTGTAGAGTAGGGTTTCTAAGTAGGTGGCCTAAACCTGAAACGTCATTTGCTTTTTTTGGTTTTAATCGGAGTCCTCTATTATGAAATCCACTGAAAAGAATTTCTGTGAATCACATCATGTACTGTCATACTTTTCTCCCTGGCTTGATAGTAACATTTCAAAGAATTGTTAATTTACAAATAATGCCAGTAGGACTGTGATGTTGTCCTGTTAACATCATTCAGGTACCCAGTTTTAAGAGCTCACAGAGATTCAAAACTGTAACTAATAACCTGAAAAATTAGCACTATATTTAAGTATGTGGTTTTAGCTATAGCTACAGCAGCTTATTGGTCTACCCTCCTTCCTGTTTACTAGCTATTGCTAACTTGTATCTGTTTTTTTTTTCTGTAGAGGAAATGGGCTGGCCTCTCGATTGGTCAAGAAGTAGAAGGTAAGGGCTGATGGATGGATTTGTTTACTGATTAGAATGTTTTAAGAATGACATCATGTTTTTGTTCAAATCAGAAATTGCTCAGTTCAAACTGAGAATTCTTATGCACAGGTTTGCTATCTTTCCTGTCATTATGTCTCTGGAATCACACGTTTCATGCTGTAACATTAAAACTTATAAGTTCTGTTAATTTTTAATCTTAATAATGAACCTAATGTGTAGTGTTCCCAGTTCATTCAGTAGTAACTTTGTACATATACAGGTTAGGACCATAATTTAGATGGTTTGTATTATTCTCTAAAAAGGTCTAGTTAGGAAATGACAAAGTAGAGTGACATGCAAAGTGTACAGGGCAGTACTGTTTGTGTGGGAATTGGTAATAAATAGAGGTATAACGAGATCTTGTGTCACGAGATCTTGCGATATTACAACATGGCAAGATTTCTCGTCGGAGTGAAAAGCGGTCTCGCGAAGGTGCGGCAAATCAGCTGATGTAAGCATGTCAGCGTCTGATGAAATTACCATAGTAAATTCCCCAGACACTTTTAAATCTTTTGTGTGGCAGCATTACGGAAGAGGATTAGGGCCACCATGAAAATATTATTTGAATTCTGACTTTAGTTTAGAAAAAAAGTGAGAATCCTGAGAATAAAGTCAGAATTCAAATAATATTTTCATGGTGGCCCTAATCCTCTTCCGTACAGCATTTTGGGTACTCAGTGGAAAATATAAACAGCAAAAAGGTGACAGACAAAACACAAACCATCTGTAAGCATTGTAGGAAAATAATGCCGTACGCAGCGGCTAACGCTACTACTATGTAAAGCCATTTGCAGCACCATCATAGCTCTTTACTTAAAATCCACTGCACCAGTGAAGAAAACATTAAAAAAATGTTTTATGTTTGTTATTTATATTCTATTTTATGTTCAATTGAGTAGTCAGATACAAGAGAAGCCTGTCATTTGAGTTTATGGTGAAATATTTTATGGTGCTAGATATTTGAGATATTTGTTCTGTTCTTTACTGCATAAGATGATGATGATTATTTAAAACATTTCACCATACATCTGCATTATTTAGCATTTTTTGTCTTTCAAATTAATCAAATAAAAGGCTGCTTTCCAATAATATATTTCCTCTTTGAAGTCTTCCTTAAAATATTGTTAAAATACCGTCTCGTTCTCGTGAACCCAATATCGTGTCTCGTCTCGTCTCGTGAGCTAAGTATATCATTACACCCCTAGTAATAAATGAAATAAAAAGTCTATTGTTCAAGCTAGCAGACTGTTATTGGTTGAGGTTTGGGGTGTCCAAGTACTATTTGCAAATTTTCATATTTGCGGGGATGTTCCACCCCTAACTCTCGTGAATGTGAAGGGGTGACTATATTATTGAATTTCAATCTGTTGGTTATGTTAACCCGCTCCCACCAATGCATCCCCCTGTCAGGAGTAGCGGTTTTGACTGGTAAATTGATTTTTTAAATATAACTTAGTCCTCTAATCTACCCCCAGTGTCCAACTACAATTTTGACAAGTCCAGGCAGTGTGTTGGAGCCATGACCATTGAGATTGACTTCCTGCAGAAAAAGAGCACAGACAGCAGCCCCTACGATTCTGACAAGATGGCCAGTGAATTCATTCAGCAGTTCAACAATCAGGGTTTCAGCGTGGGGCAGCAGGTAGGCAAGATTGCAAAAGAAAAGGCCTTGGTCATGTTTTCAAATATCCAAAAAGCATAAGTTAATGGTTATTATGAAGCCTGTAATTTGTTGTTTATTTTGGTTTTAAATTAATGTTCAGTGTTAATTGCTGCTGACATTTGTTTGAATTGGGACTACTGCCAGTATTCACTGGGATTGTTTAATTTTATCTCTCGCATATGTGCATTTTATCTTGTACTCAGTATGTCTTTGAGCATTCAGGTATCTCACTTTAAAAATCCAAGCCTCATTCTGCAGTTTTGGTTTACCAGAGAGGATGCAACTGCTCTCTCTGACTTGAATTTAAAATATTTAACTGTGCAGGCACCCAAACAAAAGCATGTTATTCTCTTTTTGAATCAGACAGTTCTTCTTCTGGTTGCCTTTTCCTTGCAGCTGGTTTTCAGCTTTTGTGACAAACTATTCGGGCTAATGGTGAAGGATATTGAGGCCATGGACCCGAGCATCCTCAAGGGGGAGCCAGCTTCTGGAAAGAAGCAGAAGGTACAGACGATACTATAGTATTATGTTGGGTTTCAGTGCGAGTTGATGTACTTATTTTAAATTGAGTTTTCAGTGTAACCTGGATTGCAATGCAACTTGTTTGTATTTACCTACTGTATCTTACCTCTTTAAGCCCAGCCTTGGCAAAGTAACCTCATGACCGTGGGCCTTTGAGCAAGGTCCTTAGCTGCCAGCTTATTATTGTTATTATTATTATTATGAAATAAAAACATGTCCTTACATTGCTTCATTCAGCCTTTGCATGTAAGCCTGTTCCTATGTTTTGTGTCTGTGACAAGCCCCTTAACAAAAGGCATGCACAATAAAATGGGTCCATAACAAAACTGTGCACCTTGCTGCTTAACAGAAAACACTGGTTTTAATGAATGTGGTGATGTCATACAATTAAGACTGTGAATGGTTAAAGAAGTGAAACACGAACCCCTCCCTCGTTGACCCAGGGACATGTTGAACTCAGGATTTGCTTCCGAAGTACCACTGCCTCATGCAGCTGGCCTACAGAACATGGAGCCGTTGAATAGAATACATACATGTGCAAATAATCATTCATATTAAACACAGCTGTTATGGTTAAATAGAATCAAGACAAACTTCATTTATCAAATGCACAACATTGCAGTGTACAGCAGTATATGCAGGCAATGAAATGAATGCAGCTAATAAGTGATACAGACAGATACAATTTAGTGAAGGGACATAAAAATATCCAGTGTGCATGTAAAAAAACCTAGAACAGGGTCATCTTCTAAATTAAAAAAAAACACCCCTCAGAGATCTCCATTGTCATATGACTAAGGGAGAATAAAACAAGAAGGACTCAACTAAACCATATTATATAATTCCTAAAGCCTGTGTCTTAAACTGGCAAGAAGGAAGTCACACTTGAGAAAAGCTTATTCTCACCTTCATTATGCAAAGATCTTGAAGAACTCCATCAGTACCATTAAACATGGTGCTGGTACAGTCATGCTTTTGCTGGGCTTTTCATCAGCATGAAATGGAGGATTTGCAGCAGAACTGATAGATAATGATATAGTTGTATTGTGAGTAGAACGTGCTACAAAGTCCAAAGACAAGTATGACTACAAGATCACTGTAAACATGGGTTCCCCAGTTCTTCTTTTAGAGGGCCAGAATGCAGTACAGTTTGTATATTTCCCTGCTCAAACACATTCTAATCAGCTAATTACCTGGTTTAGTAGGTGTGTTTGGGAAATCAGCAAAATGTGTTGGATTTTGGCCCTTAAGGACCAGAACTGGGGAACCCTGTTGTAGACTGCTGCTATCCAAATAACACGCAACAGCAGTTTTGCAAGGAAGAGTTTGCAAGAACTCAATACTTATAACTAATTATGAAATAACAACTGTGGGTATTGCATATATTGCTACTATTTATAGGTTAATAGTGAGAGTATATCTGTTCTTTATTGGAATTTTAGTTTGTAACATAACAAAACAAGGTTTGTTCAAAGCAAGGTCTTTGCTTTCCACGTCCACTGTTATCCATGTGTTCTATTCAATGTTTGAAGTGGGCATTCAGATGCCTGGAACCGCTACTGGTTCATGTTTTGTGAAGACCTGTTGAAAGCCGCCTTAATACATAGTTCTTTGTTCTACTGAGGGCACCATTTGTAGCATTGTGATTTTTAATAGTTCTTCCTATGTTTCTGTTTTAGATTGATATTGGCCTTTTGGTAGGGAATAGTCAGGTGATTTTTGAGAAAGCGGAGAGCTCTTCCCTCTCCTTGGTGGGTAAGTGGCATATCAGCTGGCACACTAGTGTTGGCCAATTTCAAGAGGGTGCATTTTGTGTTATTTGGCTGTGAAGAAAAAAATCCCATTGAAATGCTGGAAATGTGGCATGGGATACTTAAAACAACAAAGTGTAAAACCGATCATTAACCATCATTCAAGAATTCAGGAATAATGCTTGTTCATTTCATTATGAAATAATATGTATATATCTGTCTTTAAAAGGTGTCTTGTAATACCATAGCTTATAAACTATAGATATATGTCTATTCTGCTATGTCTATTGTGAAAACACTAACACTTATTGTTAAAGGACTATGGTAATATGAGTTATGTATAATGCCTTATTGCTGTAATTTTGTTGTTGAAACCAGATTTGTGAGAAATGAATTAAAATAACATAATGTATTGGAATAAACCCTACCCCAACTCAGGAAAAGCCAAAACCAAAGAGGCCCGGCAGACCATCATTAACCCTGACTGGAACTTTGAACGCATGGGCATTGGAGGTCTAGACAAGGAGTTCTCCGACATTTTCCGTAGGGCTTTTGCCTCTCGGGTATTCCCCCCGGACATCGTGGAGCAAATGGGTGAGTCCTGAGATATCAAAGCAGACCTCTGCTCGGTCACCACAGTAGGATGTCTTCCTGGCATTCCGCTTGCATTTGCATTGCTGCAAAATGCTGTTTGTAGATTGTATGTTCAAGTTCAGGAGTGCATTAGCGGCGCGGATAAACAATAAACTAGCAATTTGTATGATAGGCCAAAGTGAAAGTTTAAACAATGAAGTCACATAATTTCTTTTGTTTGTCTTCAAACATATTTTAAAAATCAGAGAGAATTGATATGTTACAGAATTAGTTCATGAGAATGACCCATATGGTTCTTGTTTTATTAATTATATATTTTACAGTATGAATTATATATTAATTTGGAGATTAAATGTGTAAATATTTATGATTGTAAGGTTTAAAATTAGGTGTAATCAATCACAATCACATAAAACTGTGCAATTAGAGTTAATTTAAATACATTATTTATTATTACTATTATTTAATTTACATCTTTATATATATATATATATACACACACACACACACATACACACACACAAACATGTACTCACACACACAAACTGCACATATTCACATATCTTTCCTGTTTTACCTGTTTTATATAAAAGAATGGGTAACCACCTTGTTGGGAAAAAATTCTGCCAATTGACATGCAAATGAAATGTGCAGTAAATGAATACATGTAGTAACATGTCACACCTAGGACTTTTTTCAGGAAAAAAAACACATATATTGACTTTTCAGTTGATATATTCAGTACTTCTTGAAATTGTAGAGGACTGTGAGTGTGTGAGTACAGATTAGATGGATGGAGCAGGTGACAGGCATGTCCAGGGAATGCAATGCTATCTTTATCAAAGCCCCCCCCCCTTTTTTAGTATTTGTTCTTTTTTTATTATGTGGAAAAGGAACATGTTATTTTAGTCGTGCAATTAAGTCTTTTGGGATATGTGATATCCCTTAAATTGCACGCTCATCCCATATTGAAAAATAAATTTCTGTACCCGGTTTTGAACTTGTATTGCCTTATAGTTTTAGGCCACGCAGAGGCCGGGGTTAGCCTCCATATTTTTTCGCAATCTAAGGTGGCGTCCTTAGTGAGGACTGATTTTAATTGCTGAAGGCTTGTGTGTCCAGTTAGCCGAACACAACAAAACAGTGAAGTAAAACCATGATATTCTGAAAAGGCTGATTTATACAATTTAATTCTTGGGTGAATAGGAGCTCGTGTTTAGGGGACAAGAAAAGAGTGAAAACTGACAGGGAAACAGACTGTAGATGTGCGTTCTAGCAGAATAAGACCATGTTAGATTGGGAGACATATGTATTATTACAAAGATTTGAGTGAATAAATTTACTACCGTAAAACCCATAGTTTTTGTGCACTCATTTTTAGACAAGAACACAAATAACTAAAACGTTACATTGAATTATATTCAATATTGGTGAGTGTGGAACGAATTGATTAAATGGGTGAAGGAAGTGACATAGTCCTGGGAATACCTGTTGTTCAGACAACCCCCCTTTCTAGTTTATTAATGAATTTGGGGAGAGCCAATCAGGCCAACATAAACAAAAATACTGCTAATTAGAGAGATTAGCTTCTTAACAAAATGGAAAGTAAAATAAAAAAGCACACAACTTGCATAACTCGCTATCTTATCATAAGCACGGAAGAAACTAATGGCTACTCACAATGTATGCAATATTTCCAAATATGTAGATGCTATTTACAGAAAAAGATCTAAGCAACTGAATCCAAGAGGGCTACACATTCAAGCACAGAACTGTGAAAGTGTCAAGCACACTAACAATTGAAGAGAGAGTAGTTAATAGTCACAGAAAGCAACACAAATTGTAAAAGTAATATTTCCTTCTTCAGTGTTTGGCTGTTGACAGAAGTGGTAAATTGGGAATCAGCCAGTTGGGAAGGAGATATATGCTAATGTAATAGCAAGTGGGATCAAAAACACAAACCCACAGAAACTCCCACCCAACACGGCAGAGCAGATCTGCAAAATAATTCAGACAATTATTTTAATGTGAATTTTAATTAATTTATAGGCATACAGTTCCTTCAGAACCCTCCCTTTCTCCAGACATTACCGTGTGTTATTTCATAACAGATTGATAGCAAAATGAAATTCAGTCAACAGTACACCATATAGATTAAGTAAAAACACATTATGTATTTTTGAAAATGTATTAAAATGTAAAAACTTGAAATTTACTATAATATTCCAAATTAAGGTCTTCCTGTCCGGTAGATCAGAGTGCATGACATCCACATCACAGTGACCTCCTTCAATGTTGAGTGTAAGAGGCGACTGGCCAAATTGGGTAGCAAGAAGGACCTTGTTCAAGTGTGTGACCAATAACTCAATGGCCACTGTAACAGATCATTAGTTCTTGTTTCAAGATGGGAGATCTTGCTAAAAGGACAGCTACTTCTCAGTGGCAGGAACTGGTCAGGATTAACGGGAAGGTAAATGAAGTCAAACACAGAGAGGTCCTTGAAGAAACCCTACTCCAGAGCATGTATAAACTTGCCAACTAGCCAAGACAATGCTGGAATGGCTTCAGTGTCCTTGAGTGGTCCAGCCAAGGGTGAAATAGAAAATCTGTTTACGGCAGTTCTGATCCAGTCTGAGAGGATGTAGATGGGAGATTTCAATTAGCAAGAATTCCTAGAGATGTGTTTTCTGTTTTCCATTACAGAGTATTTTGTGTCTCTTAGTGGCAAAAAATATTATCAATCCATTTTAAGTAAGTTTACAACACAATCATCTTTGTAAAGAAAAGTGTATGTAATAATTTCTGTAAGCACTATATTTCCTATTTTATGGTTTATTCTACTATGATGCTTTGTAAAATTAATTAAATCTATGCCTGTCACAGTGAAACTTATGACAATCCCAGAAATGAAGTGTAGGTGGGAAAGTATTTGCTTGCTTATCATTTTTTTTATAGATGCCATGAAATTCATTGGTCACATCCAAAACTCCTTTACTTGAGATGAAGGGTTATAAACATACTAGGTCATAATTGTGCCTCCATTTGTCTTGTTTTTCCTCTAGGCTGTAAGCATGTTAAAGGCATCTTGCTCTTTGGTCCCCCTGGCTGTGGAAAGACTCTAATGGCCCGGCAGATTGGGAAGATGCTTAATGCCCGTGAGCCTAAGATTGTCAATGGGCCTGAAATTCTGAACAAATACGTGGGGGAATCAGAGGCTAACATTCGTAAACTCTTTGCTGAGGCTGAAGAAGAGCAGAAGAGAGTAAGTAACTCCAACAGGCTTGCCAGTTACACATATGCTTGTGTGTACACAGTCAGAAGAAAAGTACCAATTTATAACTTTTGATGGTACAATTAGTTGTCACTCGGGCTGTACCCACAAGGATCTGTCAGTTGTATCCTAGCAGTACGTAAATGTACCATTGTGGATACATTAATGTTGTTTGTATCATAGGGAAAAACCAGAGGTGTACCCTTTTTCTGGCAGTGTATATTAGGCAAATAAAAAAAAAAACATGCACAAACACACACTTACAACACATACAGTACAAAAGAAGAGCAGACAGTAAAAGGGATGTTCAGCTTCAGTTTGTACTTAAGAAGCAGAGTTCATCATTCAAAACTGAACTAAGAATGGCCCTGAAATTCGAATTCAGTTTGTGAATTTGGATTGAATTTGAATTGCGGTTGAAAACCAGATGCAGAATTGCAGCTCAAATTCTGAATTTAAAAAAGTAGAATTAAAAAGGAAATTAATTCAAACAAATTCAGATACATTGTTTTGGTGCAGCTTTCAGCAATGCAGCTTAACATTTCAATATGAATTACACATAAATATGTTAAAATACACAGTGTATACTGTATTATTGGTATAAAAATGCCATGTTATAGAGAATGAATAAATGAAGTGTCACCTTTAGAATTAATAATTAAACTGCCATTTTGTGTACCATAAGCAGCATCTAAGTATACTTTAACATCTTAACATATCTTACCAGCTTTAATGTATATTAATAATAAAACATTATATGATAATAACAAACATTATGATCATATAATAATATAATGCTTGTTATTAATATATATTAAACTGTATGGTTTAGTATGACTCAGTGGGTTAAGCCTCTGTGCCTATGGTCAGAAGGTCCCTGGTTCGAGCCTGGCTTTGACAGAATAATGTCTGTGAGTCCTTGAGTAAGGCCCTTAACCCCCAGCTCCATGGGTGTAGCTATCGACTCTGCAGACAGTTGGCGCCTTCTGCACACTGTGCGCCTCAGCATGCCTTGTCCCCGCTCTGTGATTTTACGTGGCCTACCACTTTAAGGCTGAGTTGCTGTTGTTCCCGGTTGCTTCCACTTTGTTATAATACCACTAACAGTTGACCGTGGAATATTTAGTAGTGAGGAAATTTTACAAATGGATTGTTTCACAGGGGGCATCCTATCATGGTACCTTGCTTGAATTCACTGAGCTCCTGAGAGCAACCCATTCTTTCGCGAATGTTTGTAGAAGCAGTCTGCATGCCTAGGTGCTTGATTTTATACACATGTAGCTATGGAGGTGATTGTAGCACCTGAATTCAGTGATCTGGAGGGGTGTCCCAATACTTTTGGCAATATAGTGTATAAACAATATGAGTAATATAAATGACACTTTAAGATATGGACATTAAGACAGGCACAAAGAAATACAGGTAGCCACCTAATTGTTGGGGAAAGATTCTGCAAATTGACATTTAAATGAAATGTACAATAAATGTATAGTTGTAGTTTCAGAGTTACATGTCACAATTAGGACTCTGAGCATTCAGGTAAAAACACATTTATTGCCAACATTTCTAGTTGATCCATCCAGTACTTCTAGAAATTGTACAGTTTGGTGAATGTGTGAGGAGTACAGATTAGATGGGCAGGAAAGGTGACAGGGCTGTTCAGGGCATGCAATACTGTCGTTCCAACGTTTTTATTCATTTTTCTTTCTCTGTTCTTTCTTTCTCAATATCTTAAGCTCTGTATGCCACTGTTTCATTAGTTCATTAATATGGCATGTCAACACTAAAGATGTTGCTTTCCTAACCACATGTTACATGTACAGCAGTGTCATTTTTTGCATTTAACTTTACAGCTAGGTGCTAACAGTGGTCTGCACATCATAATTTTCGATGAGCTTGATGCCATATGCAAGCAGCGTGGCACTGGAGCCAGTAGCACAGGCGTTCATGACACGGTGGTCAACCAGCTGCTGTCCAAGATCGATGGTGTGGAGCAGCTAAACAACATCCTTGTCATAGGTGCGACAGTTTCTCCATGGATTCTGAGGTGGCTCTACCACCTAAGGCAGGGTTATTCAAATCACGGTCCTCGAGGTCCGAGCACGGCTGGTTTTCCAGCCTTCCTTTACCTGTCAGTCAGGTGTGAAGCCTCTGACCAATCAGAATCAGTAATTATTAAACTAACTACCTGGGACAACTGAAAACAAGGCCTGGATTTGGAATCGAGGTACAGATTTGAAGAACCTTGACCTAAGGCATACTCAGCAGAAAGGAGAGTGTGATTTACTGTGAGCGTGCATAAGGCTACTGGCCGGTTAAGTGAAATGTTTTGATGTTTTGCTGTGGCAGGTTAATCACGCACCCTTCTTTCAGAGATGACTGTGTAACGTGTTTGTTTGGCAATACTTGTCCTTAGGAATGACAAACAGACCAGATTTGATTGATGAAGCTCTGATGAGACCAGGAAGATTTGAGGTTAAAATGGAAATTGGTAAGAAAAATTGGCCTGCCATCTGGAAAAACCTGCTCTTGGTCTATTTTATTAAGCTTTTCCATATTTTAGGTGTAATATATGTAGATTTGATAGAGACCCACCAACATACACTAATAAATTCAGATATGTTTTATAATTTTGGGACAAACTGAAAACTTTAGACGTTAGTTGGATAACGATAAATGACATTTTATCTTGGAATATGGAATGTGTAAGAGATCTTCCATATAGGAAATGTTAACTTGGTCATGTAGCCCAGGAAACGTTAACTTTGTATGTTAATGAATTTTTTATAATGTCAAAACAACCTTTTTAGCAATCATGTTAACAGAATGATCCTCATAGATGAAATATCTTAATGTATTTATATGAGTGGTACAGAACCTTTCATTTCTTATAAAGCCTTTCTATTCTACTATTACTTTCATGTACTACTCTGCCAGAATCCCTCACCACTTATCTCTTGTTAGTTTTACAGTCTTTAAAAAAAAGTCTTCCATCTTCTCCTCCAGGCCTACCTGATGAAAAGGGCCGGCTGCAGATTCTTAATATTCACACAGCCAAGATGCGCGAGTTCAAATTGCTGTCCAACGACGTGGATTTGCCAGAACTGGCAACAGAGACCAAGAACTACAGTGGTGCTGAGCTGGAGGGTCTGGTTCGGGCTGCCCAGTCCACTGCCATGAATCGCCACATCAAGGTCCTTCATTCACTTACACTGAGCTTCCTTTCAGGGTTGCATTCTCACAATTTTCATTTGCTGTCACCACATTATGTTTTCTGCACTGCCGAATATTCTGCCTTCCCCGTGTCTCGCTCAGTTGAATATGTTATCAGATTAGTTCTCAGGCATTATCCAAGCCGTCTTTGTCCTGTAGTACTCAACATAAATATTGCACCTTTAAACCAGAATACTTTTTATAAAATGAAAAATGCTTTAAAATGTGTTAAAATCAATGAGAACTGAATGTAAATTATATATCTTATAACTGATTTGCAAAAATATTAAATGTAGAAATGTAGAAACATTTATTTTATTTATTTAGTTAATATAAACTCATGACTTACACAAATTACTGACAGTGGAAATGGCATTTTTAGGATTATGTTTAGATGTTGTTAGAAAGTTCTTTCTGGCTAGTTTAATAATTTAAAAGATTTTTCTTGACAGTGCAGTGATCTAGGAAAACTGTATACAGCCTTTGCTACATTTTACATTTGTTTGTTTTTGGATACCACTGCTACAACTAAACCACATAAGCTTTTGCTTTATCCGATATGCCGCTGTCTTCCTGTGCAGGCTAGTACCACAGTAGAAGTGGACATGGAGAAAGCAGAGAAGCTGCAAGTCCATCGTGCAGACTTCCTAGGGTCCTTAAATAACGACATCAAGCCCGTAAGTCTCTGCTTTGACCTGCACTGGAAGCCTTTGCGCCCTGAACTGCAAATCATACTGCAGTGTTGTATTAATCATTTAATAAATCAATAGATGCTTTGAGATTATACAGACAGTCTCTGAAAATGAAGTTCTAGAAGGTACAGCTTAAATTTTTTGTTAGTAAAGTGTACATGTGAATTTTTCATATGAAAATATATCCTTTCCTTGATTGATTAATCTTGGGATTCTGCCTTCACCAGGCTTTTGGCACCAACCAAGAAGACTATGCCAGCTACATTATGAATGGCATCATTAAATGGGGAGACTCCGTGACCCGCGTCTTAGATGATGGGGAGCTGCTGGTTCAGCAGACAAAGAACAGTGATCGTACACCTCTGGTGGCTGTGCTTTTGGAAGGTTATTGAAGACTCTTAAATACTCTCATTCTGTGCTGACATCGTCACACAGAAACATTGTAATAAAGTTATTGAACGTGGAAGACTTTAACTGACAAGCATACAAAATATGTTTTAATAATACGTTTTTCATAATAATAAGAATAAGTTTTATTCTGTTATGAGAGGAGAATACAGGAAGAATTCACATCTGAAATATTTATGAATATCAGATTGATGGCTGCTAGCTGCATTTAACTGTCTGTAATAGACAGTGTAAAGATAATTTATGCTTTTTTAAGCCAGCATTATCATTTAAGCCATCATATCTAAGAATGAAAAAGTAAAAATACGATTGGTCACTTTCACCTGCCAAGGACCTATAATACTGGTGGCACAAACCACTTATGACTTAAACCAGGATTTTGACAGCAAACAGAAAAGTACTATTTCAGAATGAGCTTGTTAATTTTGAACTAAAAATCAAGTTTCATACTTTACATAAGATGCGTGTGGCAAGTTAACTTTCCGAAGCAAGATATTTAAAGATGGATAAACCTAATAGTTAAAAATAATAATAATCCCTAAGGGGAAGTTAAATATCGAATCTGTCATGTGGAATCTTTTGTTAAAGGTGTTAAAAGCCAGTTGTGAGAAATGGTACGGGTGCTATGGGGAGTTTAAAGCCTTCGTCCTGCCACCCTACTAGGACCACCCCACAGTGGCAAGACTGCACTGGCTGCCAAGATCTCAGAGGATTCCCAGTTTCCCTTTATCAAGATCTGCTCTCCGGATAAGATGATTGGCCACTCAGAGATCTCCAAGTGCCAAGCGATTAAGAAGGTGAAAGGGGTGGCCATTTCTCAAATGATCTCCTTGCCTTTTGCATTCGGGAAATCAAGATAGCTTAATCCCGCACATTTTTCCTGCAATGCCCCATGAATTAGTTGAAACCAGACTCTCACTGTGTTTGTGACAGATCTTCGACGATGCCTACAAATCCCAGCTAAGCTGCGTGGTGGTGGATGACATTGAGCGTCTGCTTGGTAAGCAGGCATGAACACCCACCCGTGGTCAGCTCAGTCTCTGGACAAAATGTTTGGCAGCTTAATGAGACTGAAGCTCTGTGGGTGTTTTACAAAAAACTGAGTAAAATCTACAACCATGGTATTAATAGAAGTCATTTTTTTGTGCATGTTTCATTCTCCGTTCAGGTTAGGGTGACTGGATAATCCATGTCAGGGAGGATATTTTGAGCTACTTCAGGTTTTGCAAACTGCATGAAAACTGAAAAGCTGTATTTGGTTAAATGTTTCGGTTTTTCTTGGACTTTGACTGGTATTTTTCCTTGATTGAAAGGCTCATCCAGATGTTTCACATTAGCATTAGTGACACGTGCATGATTACTAGAGACTGACCAGTCAGCACACAGCAAGTACTTAGTGCAATGAAATTCAGGTTCTTTTAAATGAAATGGTAGTTTACAAATCCTAACCTAGCTCAGTTTCTGGGATGACCTAATTCAGGCCAGAGAAGAATATATATGTTTCTGTCCTGTGTACTGGATTAATGGCCTTAGGCTTAAATATAAGGGACTTGTGGCTACAAGCCCACAGAGATCTTAAATGCCCAATGGAGAACTGAATATGTGCTTAATTTCATTCCAGCCAGTTTAATTTTCATTTCATTTTAACTTGGTAAGGATAAGCTGGTTGGACGATGGATGGATGAAGTTTTTTTTGTAGTTAATCATCTGATGTCTTTTATTTGTGTCAGATCAGAAAAAATATCAAATGACATAGTAATTGTACTAAGTGATGTTTTCTGTACTAGCAGAGTGGCTACAAAGGTGTGACCCTTTATAGACCACAATGGTTGCTGAGTATTTGATTCAGGGATATTTGGCTCTGGGTCATTAAGAATACACACTGAATCCTTCTTTCATGTCTTCTCCCAGATTATGTTCCTATTGGGCCACGTTTCTCCAATCTCGTCTTGCAGGCTCTGCTTGTGTTGCTGAAGAAACCCCCACCTAAGGTGAGCATATACAGTACCTGAGGTTGTTGTACATCCATTGTACTTAAACTGCATCTTATATAGAAAAATAACACTTAGTGTTTTGCACACTTTGCAATTCTGCGCCCATTTTATATAATTATAATTAAATCTTTATAAATTTTAAATCTTTTTATATAATGGAAAATAAGTGGAACTTTTATTTAATTTGCAGCAAACTACAATAATTGTTTTTTTTAATACCAAAATGAATTGAGGTGCTATATGATACAAGATGTACAAAATGAGGGGGGTGGCCCTTCACAATTCATTAAAATTTGACAGTTACAAGAGTCAGAAAACTGCTTTGAATAGTGTTTTTTTATTAGTTGACCATTTTTAATGTTCAAATTTTAGTTCACAACAAGATTCATAACAACCTCTTGCAGGTCTTTGTTTGAAATGATTTCCCTATGAAGCAGAATTGCAGTTTGGAATTTTTTTCTCAGCCTGCAGCTACTCTATGACAGAATGACAGAACAATTGGGCTTTCTGCTTAACAAAACATGAATTGGAATTAAATTTTCATTTAATTTCTTTTAGTGGTGAGCAAATTGGTTAAGGTATGTGATGTCATTTGTATTAAGAGACTTATTTCAACTATAAAAAACATTGTTTTCGTTTGTAGTTTCAAAAACTAATTTGAAATTATGGAAGTACTCTGAAACTTGTGATTTTTATTACTTCTGTAGGGGTCAGTATTAATTACAGTATTGATTGAGTAAAGAAATGACTTACATTTACTCCAGCCATTCAGAGGCAAACAGATGTATTCCATACTCTCTGTAGGGACGCAAGCTGCTGATCATAGGAACAACCAGTCGGAAGGATGTGCTGCAAGAGATGGAGATGCTGGATGCATTCAGCACCACCATTCATGTTCCAAACATCTCAACTGGGGAACACCTGGTCGAGGCCTTGGAGGTACAGTAACAGCATGGATGGAGAAGGGAGAGAAAAGATAATGATGGAGAACAAATGGAGGAAAGAATATGACGAAATAGGAGATTTATTCTTTCAGGGTTTCACATGTACAGGGTTAAGTTAACTTTTTAACTTAGATACTGTAGCTAAAGAATGCATGTTTTAACAGAAAAAAATACATTTTTTGATCAGTATTTCAAGTGAAGTTACTGCCTCAGGGGTATGTTTGTTTTTGTGCCTTTTCTACTGACTGTATTCTCACAAACTCAAGTTATCTTTTGCTGTAAATAACTTTACAACATCTCTTCCTTAAGTTTATGTTTGTTGTTAATAGCAATGCATTTAATACCACAGAGGCTCACATGTTCAGTTCTGCGTGTTCAGTTCCTGCCTCCAGCTGTGAATTTTTATCTGCTTCCTCCTGCAGTCCAAAAGCATGCATTCAGGCAAATCAGCATCTCGAAATTCCCTGTAGTGTGTGACGCTGCGTGTCTGCTTTTGCTGCACTGCACCAAGCTGAATACAAAATACCCCAGCCTTATTAGTATGGCAATTAAACAATCTTGAACCTCGAATCTCCTTTTTGTCTCTGCCAGCTGCTTGGCAGCTTTACAGACAAAGAGAGGGCCACCATTTCACAGCAAGTTAAGGGCAAGAGAGTGCGGATTGGCATCAAGAAGCTGCTGATGCTTATTGAGATGTCCCTCCAGGTGCGGTTCACCTCATTAAATCCTTTGTAAAGCCTTGTCATTTTTCCATGATCCACAAAACATTTTGCCATGGACACAGACAAGCCTTTCCACAGGCATGGTTGTCTGTGTATGAACAGGTTGACGATCCCTGGTAATTAGAGTTTGTTACAGTGTCTGAATTTCTGCATGAACAGTATGTGATATGCTTGGTTTTCAGATGGACCAAGAATACAGAGTTGGCAAGTTTTTGTCTCTGCTCAAGGATGAAGGCACGTGAGTATTTCCCATCACCTCTTAGATATCCTCAGCTTACTGTAACTCATTGCATCTCCATTCATAAAAGTATTCTAGACCACCAGTTGAATTTTCTCACTCATATGTCATCAGTTCATCACTTCCTCTCCTGTATTTTCAAAACTCAGTTGCCTCACCACCTCCATAAATATGTTACGAATAATGAACAACAGCCTCTCCAATGCTGCACAGTTACTGCCATCTAGTTAATGTCATCTAGTTACAGTCCTGTGATCCTTTATTTGCCATTTTCAGAATTACAGGTACATTTGAATGATTTTTTTTGCATATCCCTTCTTATTCTCTTTTGAAACATACACTACACACAAATATACATATTTGAGAGCAAAGATTGGGGTCTGAGTGCAGGTCAGGCCATTTATCTGCCACCGCTGAAGTAATCCTGGGTGTTAAGGGCCTTGCTGAAGGGCCCAGTGGAGATGTAACTATTCATCTGAGTCCAGGCTTTCACCTGGCAACCATCCCATAACGGGAACAGAGCCTTAAACTACTGAGCCACACACTTCCCCCCCAAATAAGCACACTCTTGAAATTTTTTCTTTTCATGGAAAGTTTTGCTCATTCCTACATGCAGAATTCCTCTAACTGTGTGATGCTGGAAGGGTTTCTTGCATGTACTGTGTCTCTTTCAACTCCTGACACAGCATTTCAGTTGGATTACTATTTGGTCTTTGACTTCGGGATTCCAATACTGTCCATTTCTTTGTTTTGAGCCGCTCCTTTCTAGATGCCCACTATCATGTTAAAAGACCCATTTATTCAGCTGTTTTTTCATGGACGGCCTCACATTCTTCTCAAGCACTCTCTGGTATTATGTTGAATTCATAGTGGATGACGAGTTAGCTAGGCCTTGAGGCATTAAAGCAGCCCCAAACAAAAACAGTTTCACCACCATGCTTAATGAGCCTGAGGTTCTTTTTCTCAAATACTGGGGGTGGGGGGGAGCTGAGCTAATGCAAGAGGTAGAGAGATATTGTCCAGAAATAGTCAGGCTTACTTCAACGTACAGCACAGGCTCTGGAACCAAACTCATGGAGAGGGACTGGACTCTATTCCACTCTTGAATTGCCCTGGGTGAGAGGCTCCGGGCAGGTGTGGGCCTAATCGGTTTAGTGCCAATACATTGGAGTCTCTGCCCTTCGACTTCAAGTTTGGAGGGAGGTACTGACTGTTCTCTGTGCCTATGCATCAGTTCAGAATCTAGTCTTCTTGGAGACCTTGGGTGGGGTGCTGGAAGATTCCCTCTTTGGGAATTCCATTGTTGTACTGGGGAACTTTAGCGCTCATGTGGGTAATAACAATGAAACCTGGAAGGGTGTGACTGGGAGGAATGGCCTGCCTGATCTGAACCTAAGTGGTGCTCTGTTATTTGTAATTTGTTATTTTGTTTTATTTTTATTTATCTTGTTTTAGCCACAGTTTGTCTGTAACAAGCACCATCTTCAAGCCGTACAGTATTCATAGGTGTACCAGAATGCCCTTTAACAACACATTATGTAATAACTCTGCATTATGTTATAACCTAACAAAATGTAACAGATTTTCATCACATAATGTTGGATTATTACATAATGCATTGTAATACCACATAACAATGCATTATGTAATTATGTAACTTGACAAAATGTAAGAAATTTACAGCTTACATTATAATTTTGTTGCAACATTAACCTATTATTCATTATTATTATTATTATTATTATTATTATTATTACATTGTCCAAAGAAGAGCATCGGCATGTTTTTGTGATCCATTTCAGATGACTTCTGTGTCTCTGTGACAGAATAGCAGGCAAAAGTTCAAATAAAGAACTGCATAGAAAATATCGAGTGGGCCTAGTCACTTGTTAATTTATGAGGTTACCTACTTTTACCTGCTTTTGCTACAAAGGGATTTGAGAAACACTCGGTTAACAAGCAAATGGTCTTAAGTACGAGGTAACAAACTACTTAGCGTCATGAAGCTTTCGGGAAATGAACCCCTGAAACTGTACCTAATTATCCTAATGAAAATTTATTACATTTTGTTGAACTATTACATAATGCATCGTTATTACCTAATGTGTTGTTACACAACCGAAGCCATAGATCGTTGATCTATTTTGTTGTCATATCATCAGATCTATAGCGGCAGCACCACCCACTGCACCACTGAACCACCCTGACAGGCATGCATGATGTGCAATGTTAATATCAACATGGCATTTCATGCGCATGCAATTGTCACATAACAAGAATCGAGATAGTCTACTGTGTTCAAACCATCAATACGTTGCACTAAAACATTTTTACTCAGTCATAGGAAACCAAACTTAGGAAGCGTTTGCAGTTTTGATGATGGTTCCTTTTCACCATTATCTAGTAAATGTTAAAAAAAGCCTAAAGTTTACCGCCACTGCTTTTGCTTGAGCTCTGTATGTACTCTCTGAGGCAGTCACAATCATTCTCATGCTTGCTGTTGGACTCACTCGTAGATCTTGTGATGCATTTGCGAGAAATTTAAAAAAAAAGATAATTAAATGTGGAAAAGCAGATTTCACACTTCAGGAACAGGAGAGCCGGGAAGCAGGCGAGTGGAGCCGAACTTACGGGTAAAAGGGGTTTATTTAGGGCGGACTGGCGACGGACACCAAACATTACATGACACCACAATGACAGACCTAGGGAAACTCACGCAGACGCGGACTAAATACACAAGACAGATTGAATTGAACAAGCAATCGGTGATTACAATCGGGGTAGTACACGTAGGTAATGAGGGGCGTGGCACACACGAGGATCGTACGAGCCGGGTATGACAGCAGACAACTGGTCACGAAAAGACATTTGTCTTCTGAATATGGAAATATTTTGTATTCTGTACACTTTCGAAATTGAGCAGAACCAAAGTGATTTGCCAGCTCTGCTTTGTGTCTGCTGGCACAACACAAGGCACCACTAACTTATTTGCAAGACTCTGCTGTTAGATAAGTTCTATTTAGCTACAGTATATAGTTAATTTTCAATTCCTAAATAATCGCAAAAACTTCAAATATTGCAATGTGAACTTTTTACAATATCGTTCAGCTCTATCACACAATATGTTCCCAAAAGATAATTTATAGTAATTGCTTACATGTACCGTATTATGTAAAATGATGTGGCTAAGAAACAGGGCTAACCTTCGTTTTAGCAGCTGTGCTGCCCAAAGTGGTAAAAGAGATTGTTTTTGTTAGTTTGTTCTAGGGCTGGACGATTCTGGTTAAAATGTGAAGCACGATTTTTCTCCATGTGAATTGAGATAACGATTCTCTCAGATGATTCTCCTTCTTTCAGTAAAAACATTTATTGCACTAAAGTGAAAATGTGCTTTTGACAATGGCTTTCAACAATAAAAAAATATACATAGCACTTGAAAGTTTCTTGTAACAATTTTTTTTCCCTTTCTTTTCCTTTTTTTAGACCCTTAAATGTAAACTTAAAATCTGTTTAACGTAAATAATAGAACGTAAATTAAAATATTTTTTTTAAATAATAAACATATAGCACTTGTGTTTTTGGGCACTCAGTCAACTACAGCACTTATAAGTTTTTGGCCAAGAACACTAGCTTAACAACATTTTGAGGCTTAAGAGAGGAACACAAGCATGACACAATGTTCCCTCCTGTGCTGAAAACCCTTTCCGAGGGGGAAGTTGTTGCAGTGATACATAGGTATTTCCTGGCCAAGACAGACAATCTTGGATATTGACCCTTGTGTTCTTTCCACCAGACTAAGGGGTCATCTTCACTGCCAATGTTTCTTGTGAACAGGTATGAGCCTAGCTCTATGTCAACATCACACTCCTTAGAAGAAGCATCAGATGGTGCTGCTGCAACGTTACCCTCTGGCGATTTAAAAAAAAAAAGCTCCCCAGGGTCTTTCTCTTCTTTTCTGCAGAGGGCAGTGTAGTGCAGTGCAGGCTGCGCAGTGGGGGCAGTGGGGGCAGTTGTGGGAAGAGTTTGCTTTAAAAAAAGGAAAGATCACAAAAATATCTTAATACACTAAACTTGAAAACTAAATATCTCGGCAGTTAAAAACCAAAGTGGTTTATCAATTTCCACATTTTTATGCAACTGTAAAAAATGTAGCTGAACGTAAATTATACTGTTGGACAAAAAAGTTTCTTGTAACGATATACTTACAATGGCAGTAGTAGTCATCTCATTCTTGAGTCTGGCCTTAATAATGGCTTTGTTGTCCTCGCTGACATAGTCCAGTTTAAATCGAGGAGGTCTTGAGTGTTTGGATCACTGTATTTTTCTTTAAGGTAATGCAGGATTTTTTACTTCAATGATCGTGTAAGATCCGTGTCATCTTCCTGCACTGCCATCATCAATAGCAGTTTGCTGTTCAAGGATCCTCTGGACCATAGCTTATCGGGATCCCCATCTTGTTGGGCACTCAGTTTTAACCTGGTGTTCAGGTAGGTTGAGGCCCTTTTGGGCAGCACCAAGCTCCACTTCCAGGTGTGACTGAAGTAGGCCACAAGCTTTTTGCAGAGCCGCGAATCTTTCACTGCATTCCCTACAAATAAAATTATTCCTTGTTATAAACTCTATATAATAATATACAATGAAGGGAGACAAGCACAATTTATTTTCAGCATAAGCTTGTGGGTGCTAACATTTAAAGATATTAAAACATTTCTATATATAATTCAAGCAGTAATAATTAAAAGCCACACATTTAAATTATAGAAACAGTGAAGTTTTCAATGTTATTTAAATTCAAAGGTGTTAAACAGACCCATTCAACCTTTTTTTTTCTTTTCTATTATCCTGCTTGCATTTGGTTAAGACATGTTTATAAACATACAGTAGCTAATGTGTAGTCTGTTATTTCTTTTTTCTGTCATGTCATTGTATAATTAAATCCTTAGAAACATTAAAGCACATTTTTCTGATTTAAATGAACATTTTAAGATTTTACTGTGCGATTAACTTTAATACAAAACTCACCTATGGCCAAGTGTAGCCTATGGCCAAAACACTGAAGCCTCGTCCAGTTGTTTAGGGACATTGTTTTATGAGATTTGGACCACTGTCTGTGGTGATGCACACCATTTTTTCCTCATCCAAATACCAGGAGTTAAGACTCTACTTCAGTCCTTCTGCCAGTTCCTCCCTGGTGTGATCAGCTGGGGAAAACGCTGTCCGTAGGCACTGGCTTTTCATGTTGAAGTCACTTGTTATGAAATGCACTGTCCATAGCATGGCTTGACTGCGAAGTTTTGCACAGTTTGCAGTTCTTTCTCGACTGTCATTCGACACTGGTTGTAAGGACTAGGTAAGGCAACAGTTGAAAATTATTTGCGAGAGGGAAGAGAGTAGCGCTTGTTTAGAGTCTTTATCATTGCCTTAAATCCTTTATTTTCAACTGTGCTGATTGGAGCCATGTCTTTGGCCAAGTGATAGGTGATAGCGTTGGTTATATCTTTGTGCCACTGGGAACTTGAAGAATATGGTGATGCACCGTATAACGTCTGATTTATGGATGTTTGTGTGGTCTTCCGACTGGCACTTTCAGTTGTGGGTTCTTGTCTCGTACTGTTATTTTGTGGTGTCTTTTTAGGTGATTGTAGAGATTGGTGGTGTTACCTCACGGTGCAGCAACACTGCTAAAGCGCTGCTTACAGATAACGACACATTGTGCATGGTCAACAAGTTTAAAGCCGAAAAAGTTCCACACCGAAGATTGAGCTCCTTTTTTTCTGAACCAGTATACCGGCGTCTTTGCCATCACCACCGGCATTCTTCGCATTGGTGTTCATTTTGCTTTTCTTCTGTCTCAGTAGGGTTTTATGCCAGTTGGCAAAAAAAAATGCGCTAAAAAGCGCATTACCGCCACGAAGTGAGCTGAGTGTGAATCGCCATAAATTAGAAAAGAGATTGTATACATTTGTGAATTGACATTCGATTAATCGCACAGCCCTAGTTTGTTCCTCTTAATTTACCATAGTTTCCCAGATAGCGATGGTTCTATCCGTTAACTTTCTTTGGTCCCTAAAGAACATATGTCTGTAAGTACAAAGTGACATTAATTGTACTTCTTACCTTAAATACTTACCTGATAAGCTGTTAAGTGGTTCGCATCTGTGAAAAAGTTAATATAAACACTGAATTGCTAATTGCGCTGGCGCGCCAATGGGATTTATGGTATTGTATTAGCATCCCGCTAGTCGCTAGTTAATTTAAATGCTTGTAAGTGCAAAGTTTTTATTGCATATTGTTTGAGTTGTAATATATGTATTATAGGGAATACTGCAGCAATATTATAAAATAATAACTTGCTGCAGTCAACTAGTGTACATTTCATGTCACATCCTCATACAAACAAGCAAGACCGGAAATGAAAGAGCCGACCAAGATGACCTTTAATCCTCCCGTTAGATGTATGCTATGCGTGCAAGTACAGTCAGTATACTGATTGTCTTGCGTATTCGCCGCGTTGCGTATGCATTGCATTGCCTGAAGTATATCCGGGCCCTAAATTAACTACGTAAGTGCCTACAGATGCAAAGGATGTCTTCTCTGGAATGTATCTGTGAGAGGACTATACGTTGTAGTGAGGCTGGATAGATGACTGGAAACCATGAAATCCCCTTTCCTCTGCTACAATCTGAAGAAGCCAAAGCGCAGTTGAGCAAACAGGCACAGTGACGATGCTGTAACAAAATATCAGCAATCTCAAAGGAGCCTTAGTACTTCCTGCATGTTTGCTGTTCAGGTGGTGGACAACATAAATATGCAAGTATCATTTGGGTTCAGTCTACACGCATCAAGTTCAGGATGCTTACTTTAATAACCATAACAATAATAATTACATACACTTATAAGCCATAGTCATATGGACACACAAACTCACAGCTCCAATAACTCTTATGTGGTCTCATCTGTCCTGCACTTGTGAACCAGGAACAGGACACACAGGCAAATATCCTTTACAAAAAAGTTTTTTATTATAATTAGTCGTTTTATTGGGGTTTTTTTTTGTGACCACTAGGTTGGATGACGCAAATCATATGTGAATTTAGCCACTTTTTCACTGGTCTAAGATTCTGGACATGCTGTTATCCATGGTAAGAGTCTATAGCTATGCCCCTCTTCCATAATATACAAAAATTTCCAGTTCTAGTGCCCATACAAAGAGGGACACAGTGGAGCAAAATACAAGATTTCCCTGTTTCTGGCTTTTCAGTGACGGATGGCCCAAACACATGTTCTACTTCAAGAAACATGTTCAGTGTCAACTGACATAGAAATTATATCTCAGCTGCACCATAAAGCATGGTTTTGACAGAAAAACAGTGGGCTTTGGGGGTCTAGAATCACACCCGTTATGGACAGTTTCACTGCTTGTCCCTTAGTCCATTTAAGAGCGTCCTAGCTGACTCTGTGCTGTAGATGTATAAAAACACCACAACCTGTGCTGCTTCCTCAGCTGTAGCATGTTCTTCTACATACATCCTTTTTTGCTTCATGATGCTTCAATGGTTCCTCAATTAATTCCATGCAAACTTTTTTAATTGATGTGTATTCCCTAGAAAGTTTTTTCAGCTTTCTTTTGTTTCTTTGTTCTGATTATCCTTGTATGAATTAATTTTTTTAATTCATGTACGACAACAAAACCAGACAGTGGGCATTGACAAGTTTTGCAGAGTCATATGGAGAGACTGTCAGACCATTGGAAGTATATTATTCTAATTCACCTCCCGGGAGATTAACCTTGTGATTTAGAACGGCCAGCTAGACTGTAATTCAGAAAGTCACCTTAGGCAAATGGTTTTCACTAGAGATGGACCAGTCAGGGACCAGAATCAGCCGATTTTCAGTATGCTTGGCCGAGACCGGAGACTGGCCGGTCAATCTCATGTATATCCAACTTTAACCCCCTGCACTATTAATGTCCATAACATGTGCATAACATGCGATGTTGGTATTAATACTATTACTCTGCACCTATTATAATTTGGAAGAGAATTGTACACTTGTTTTGTTTGGAGATTTGTAACCTATGGACTTTTTATTTTAAGACGAGTTTAAAAAAAAGCAAATAAGGTTAATGTTGTGTTATCTGGTGAACATAAGTATGACATAAGTAACTGACGTTTGTTTCATTATTTAAATCTGTTGCACCTGCTCTTGTTTGGTAAAGTAAAATATGTCTGATAAAGTTGGGTGTACAGCAACTCATTTTGAGTTAATTGTTATTTGTGCCTCATACCAGTTTACGTGAGAAAAGATACTGTAACTTAGTGCAGATTGAAGGAAATTTTATTTTTGTTTGAATATGCTTTCAGTTATAGTCCTTAGAAAGAAAATCGGAATTGGCTAAAATCGGTATCGGCAGGTCACACATTAATCAGAACTCTGCCAAGAACATTGCAATCGGTGCATCTCTAGCTTTCATACATTTACAATGACAAAGCCTGATAATCCAGAGTAAAGAAACAGTTGGACCACAAAACCTGCATGTCTTCTTTCCAGGCCTGGATCTATTTTTTGATGTGTGTACTCCTCTGTCCACAGGGACCGCAGCTTCTATCAGTAGAACTGCAGATTCTTTCTTATGAAGAGACCTAGACATTGTTAACCTTGATCTTCAGATGGAGCCAACCAGAGGATATAAGCTTTCCCATGTCCCACTTCAGCTATTCTGCATGTTTCCTATGGCGAAAAACAACCTGGTCTACCCTGTTATGATGACATATCCCATATTTGAATCAATGTCTTGTGTATAATTGCAATTTCAATGGTAAATACTGTGAGATGTGCTCTTTGCTGTTAGAATCGCATACTTAAGTTTATGAAATATATATATATATATATATAGATATATATATACTGGTACAACATTAATATTAAGCTTTACTTTCAGTTTACACATAGTGAATGGTGTTTATATAAAGTGCTGTTTTAATGTCTATCCTTAACTTATTTAATTTATATTTTGTATAGTATGTACAATATAAATGCATAGACACAATCAATTCAATATATGATCCTGGCAATGTCTTTTAATTAAACTTCTTGCATATTTGACTTGTTAAGATTTAAAATTGTGTGAATGACTGTCTGTTAGAGCTGCTATGTAAATCAGGTTCATTGCTTTGACTGGCTCTGGAGAATGTGTCTGTCAAATGAAATATCCTCGTAATGTGGCATTTGGTGTTCGTAGAAAAAGACATCTTGTGTACAAAAGGGATGTGTGTTTTGCAGATGAAACATGGTCTGATGGGGTAGATATAGTGCATATTGGAGGCAAACTGAGCAGATGTACTGTTGGAAGCAAACTGGTTGTCCTCTGCCCTGTACAGCCTGAACTCCTGTATACAACAGAAAGAAACTGGCATTACACTCTAGCAGCTAGACTCAGTTAAATGGCTGACCCCTATATAAAAGCTCGCAAGGTTAAATTAACGGTTAATTCATTCCACCTACTGCTCTAACCTGTATTTTTGTTAGTGTAAAGAACATCATATTTTGATTGTGAGCAATGTGTATTTTTTTTTCTAGTCTTTAACTGTCTATCTGCCGGTCCTGTCAGAAGAACATCTGCTGTATACATTTTACTGTGCTCCAAATGTGTGATGTCCACATTTTACTGTTCAATAGCTCTTTATTCTTACTGTTGAGGATATGTGATAAATCCTATGTATTATAATAAGATGTATTATTGCAATAAAGCACAGATTCACCCATTTCCCTAGGTGTCATATTATACACTATGATCTGTTCTGTATTTTTGATATATACAAGAGTGCCACTTGGAGAGAAGTGCGTTATTCTATTACTAGAGGTTTGCTTTCTTTGATTTGTCATCTCATTATGTGAGTAATACTATTAGAAGCCCATACACTGTATTACAGCCACAGTAGACTGTCTTCTGGAATAGGCACTTCCCCAGTATATCTCACAAGCTTTTGTTTGTGATGTGCACTTGCAGTTTGTGCATCTGTGCTTTTTCATGTTGATAGCTTCTGACTTACTACACTGCTGGGCCAACAAATGAGGCAAACACGATTTATCACATGTTTTATGATTACTCTTGTTTTACAAATACAGGTGAAATAGATAACAGTATTTCATTGTACTGTCATTGTCTGTAGCCAGTGTATAACTTAGAAGGGAGTGGCTTTTTCCATTTCCATTTGGGCAAGCTGTCTGACAGCCTTTTGCAATGTACTGCATCAGTACTGTTCCATTCATGTCTGATTGAAGTATGAGGATATCCAGATTCTACCGTCTACAATTCAGAAAATCGGTCACACATTTCCAGTGACAGGATCTGTGGCACGGCAGGTAGGTTTTGGAAGACCTAAAGTGACAACAAGTCAAAATGACAGAAGGCTGAAAATGACAATTTTTTGCCCAGCAGTATATGGGCCAATATGCTGCAGTTTCTCTCAACCACTACGATATTTTTCCTGAAATCATGCACCACTCCAGCTACACACCAAATAATTTGGTGAAAAAACTGTCATTTTCCATGTAAGTCAAAATTTTGCCCTTATGTGGCACACACAATCCAGAAATTTGCACACTATATTAAATGTTATTACACCCTGGTAATCAACACAAAACACCACTATAAAAATAATGTCACAGCACTGAATTTTGTTTCACTGCATAAATGTAAATGTGTAAAATTATTTAAATGTTCACTGGAACAGTAAAAGAAAGGTTTTGAAAAGAGAACTCAAAAATATCCAAAGAGAATACAAAAGTTCTGTAATTAAAAAACACTTATAGTAGCGAAAAGTTAAAAATGGTACTCCTTGTCTCAATCTTGTCTCTGGTCACACCACATGATTCTGTTGAATCCTCAGTCTTCATCATTCACTTGGAGATGGTTTTCATGCACAGAAGATCTTGATCATAAGCTTCCCACTGCCAAGTTGAAAAGATTCCTCAAAGGTTCCTCCTCAAATCCCATACCACCCCTCTGCTGAATACCTACCATTTTACTTACCAATTCAGCTTGTTGAGGATGCTGTTAACTCAGCACTTTGTGATTCCTTGGAAGTGGTATGATTGTTTTTAAAACAGGTGGGAAGAGTGGGACCCCCTCAGAGAGAGACTAAACAACATACAGTAAGCAAATTGCTCACTGTAGACTTTCAGAATGGATCCAAAAACTCTGTCTGTACCGTGCATTTAAAAAAAATCAATTTAATTGAATAAATTAGGTTATATATATAATTGTTTATTATGTGACAAGGGGGGACCTATTTCATCCCTCATAATTAAGTGCTCCTAGTTTTCTGTTCAGTGTAGTACACTCCGGCCACCTGATCAGGGAATGACAGAATTAGGCCTGTGTGTGTGTGTGTGTGTGTGTGTGTGTGTGTGTGTGTGTGTCAGCAGGGTGTTAGGAGGCAGTTCTAGGAGTAAGTCAGAGGAGCGTTTCAGGAATGCTGCAGAAGAAGGCAAAGGGAGAGAGAAACACACAGAATAAATAAGAAGGGGGCCGGTTGGGTGGGGGGGCATGTGTGGGAAAAGATTGTGGTGAACAGAGCAGACTAGCGAGGCCAGTGCACAGACTTTCTGTTCTGCAGTCAGATTATATGAGATACAGCTCAGGTACATGGGTGCTGCACTGATGCTTCCACAGGAAGTCAAGCAGTGTTGTGTTTCTTGGTCTCTGCCTCCATTTTTAGCTCCTGAATGGTAAGTCTTTCCTTGAATTTTGGACTCCCATGGAAAAAGTGTCAGCACAGATAGTTGCAGGGTTTATTGGACTGACAGAGGGACCAAGGGAGGGGCTTCCAGGATGGAGAGACCTGGGAGACGCTGGGTCAGTGACTGTTACACAGGAATGGTGCTGAGCTCTGATTCCTTCCCTCCCTGTTTTTTTGTGGTACAGTGTGATATGTAAAGACACTGGCTATTTGTATATTGTAAGGTTTACTGGATCAGCTGTGGTCACGTTTCCCACCATAGGGGTCCACGGTGAGTCTGTTTTCTGACCACAATCCCCCAGAACATCTGCTTGATAGTGTTGGCTGTCGCAGTTTTACACTGTAGAGTAAGAAATAAGGCCATTGATTTGCCAGTCTAGTTAGGGTAATTAGGCGTGTTTCCCATCCACTACTGCCCCTGTGTGGGCAGTGATTGGCAAGGCCGGTAACATACGTGCTCGCGCACATTCCCATCCATGATCCCCTTGTGTCAGTTGGTGAGTTGTCATGGTTTCCAGCAAAATGAAGCTCGATTTTACACTCCAGCCAACACTCATCCAAGCCCTGTGCTGCACTGGCTTTTGCAGTTCCCCTCAGAGATGAGGAGCATTTCACTGTCTTGTTAATGGGGTGAGTGTTGTGGTGGTTTAGGGTACATGCCCTAAACCACACCACACCAGGGCCATGTTCATCTTGAGCTACATAAAATAACAGGGGTAAAAGGCATCCGTGCAGGCGGGGCTCCTTGAGGGGGTAGTTTGGCCCACCTGTCCCGCCCCCTTACATGAGCCTGCAGCCTACCCAACATTTCAAAGTTGGAACCTGGCCTCGATCAATGGATGCAAAAGCCCCCTGATTTGATCTGCTGTGAATCTCCAAAGTGCTGTGAGCCACAGTTACGTAAGGATTTCTGGCTGATCAATCCGGAAGATGGAGTACGGTACCCGTCGCACTGCTTGCAGGAAAATAGCAGTTGCAGTTTTACAAGGCAGCTTCCCAAGAGGAGTGCAAAGCAATGTCATGACACACAGGGTCTGCCTGCCTTGTGAGATGCTCCAGAGCTAGACACTGACTGGCTCTCGAGTCTGGGCGTGTCTCATGTATCTGCTAGAGGCTGTTTCTGGGGAGCGTGGATGTTACAGTAGGACCTGTCACAAAGCACAGGGCTGTCAGTGAGTCCTGCTCCTCCTTTACAGAAAGACCTGTGGTTCCCCCTAGGTTTACACACACTCCACAAGGGTGTAGGCTGCCAGCAAAGAAGCCTTTGTGTGTGTGTGTGTGTGTGTGTGTGTGTGTGTGTGTGCACTCAACGCTGTCGAATGTTAAAAATAAAATAAGTAAATTGCCCCCACACCCACCTTTCATGGCAGAATGGTCCGCAGATTGATGACACACTGCACTGAGAAGGGGGGAACTCAAAATCAAACCCATCGTCATGGCAATGGCCTGGCCAGGTTCCACCAATCAATGAGGCCCAAGTGGCTGCGAGGTGTGCCTGAAAGGACTGCTGTCCTACATAAAGTGTGTGCATGCTGGAGCTGGAGTGCCACATGGGGCAGCGTGGCCACCGAGCAGTGACGAGCCTCGCTGTGGGATACACAGGGACACTAAGGGAGAGGAGGCGCACAAAACAGAAGAGGATTACACCACGAAGGGAGAGCAAACAAGGAGCAACGAGACCAGAAATGGCCTTTGCGTTCCAAGGGGGATTCCCTGCTGGGATTTGCGGGGTCATATTACTCACCTTCAGCATGCAGGCTGCAATGGTGAGCGGAGGTAAGGTGATATGGTCAGATTGCTGGGGAAGTCAAACAGAAGTAGAGCCATCCATGACACACATCCCAGCTGATGACTGGTATGAGGAACTGAGGGCTGGCAGAGAGAGCATGGTCATGCTTGATTGTTTGTTCTTACAAAGATGGATGAGCTTGGACTTACGCAGCTCCTGAAGCGCTGCCCTTGTCCGCTTTCGGACCCTGGATGTAGGTTTTTGGGGGTGCTATTTATAGTTGTTAGGAGATCTGAATGACAAGTTTATTTGATTCTGTTCAGTTCTTTCATGGGGGGTATGGTGGGGGAGGTTCTAGATATTTACCCATTCCTCCATCCTGTTTGTTTACTGGTGGGAAGCCACAGGACATGAGTGGAATGGAAAGCAGAGGAGACATGGCTGACGGCCCCTGCGAAAGGCGGATGGGTGAACTAAACCGACTCATGAAACAAGCAAGCGCTGCATTACTTTAGAAGAAGTGTTTGGGGAACTTAATGAGGGAAAAGGGAAAGAAAAAGAAGCCCGTGAAAGGAAAACAAGGCTTTTTGCATTAGATCATGGTTTTCTTCAGAAGAATGAGATCTAAGCTGGGGGGGGGTATTAAACCTGGCATTTGATGTGGAGTGCTGGCGCTTGGGACTGGGTCACAGTAAAGCCCTCTCAGGGGAGATGGGGGGGGAGACCGGCGGGGGTGGGGGCGCCTTTCAAATACCTTTCAGCCTCTCAGCTGGAGTCCCATACCCCCACAGAAAGAATCGAACAAACCCGTAAACAGACAGATCTGTACAGATGGCACAGAAAAGCAGAAAGCTGAATTGACAGATGTGTTAGTGTGTTGGGCTTAATTTAAAATTCCTCACTATACAGAGGTCGGCGAATAATTCAGACCAAAGACAGAGCTGGTTTATACATAGGAGTTATAGAAAAAAATGTGCCATGTTGTTTTTTAACAGGTAGGAGAATATCTGGGTTAAATCTGATCTGCATGTACACAAACCTTTTTATTGGTTGCTTGCGGTGCAAGGTGCTCATTCATTGGTGGATGTGAGTTGTTCATTCAGGAAATGGGTGACTGTTTCACAGCTGTCCTGCGGCAGGAGGCAGTTCTGGACAACAGTGCCGCCCTGATCAACCACTCGATGGCACTGGTGCAGCGTATGGAGGCACTGCTCATCCAGGGCAATGGCAGCGATGTGTCCCTGCGTGTGCAGACGACCAACTCGGATGAGGTGAAGGTGATCCAGGCGCACTCGCTGGTGCTGTCGCTGCAGAGCGAAGTGTTTGAGGAGCTGCTGCTGACCCTCAATGGCAGTGTACTCACCCTGAGAGAAGCTGCAGATTGCGCTGCTGTCTTTGACAAGTTCATCCGGTGAGAAGCCGTGATGCTTGTGTGGTCATGTCTCTGTGTGTCTCTCTATCGAGCAGCTCAGCCAGTCCTACACACAGGAGAGAATAAAAATCAACACACAGAACAGGCCAGTTTAATCAGGAAATTTATCTAGTACAGAACAGCTATTAGTGCACCAACTCCAAGGTCACTATGAAAACACTAAAGTCAATTAAATATGCTAGTGATGTGGGGTATAACAGTACACAAAATGAATGGTTTGGTGCAAAGTTTTGTTTTGGATTCATGGTTTGGTGCCATTTTGGCACACGGCAGGGAAAGCAGTTTGTTTTGAAATTATTTATTATTAAAACTACAAACAATTAGGAGCAGTTGTACACCAAAGCAATGCATCTGTTGATGTGTCTGAATAACAAAAAAGAGATAGTTATTTGTTGTAAAAATAAATATGAAAAATAAAAAAAAATTCAAAAATAAGACTGCATCATAACATTATGCTAAATGTGTCATAATAAGCTAAATCCAGCCTAGACCCTGTGTTCTCTGCAACTATATATGGTCGCAAATCTCTAGTGATAAACATCCACATAGCATTAGTTATTTATTTTTAACCTCAGTCCTGGTAAAAGCGCCTTAAATTCCACGGGGAGACTAACTTGCAGAAGCTATTTCTGTTCCAGTCCTAAGCACACGATGATGTGATCTCAAATGAGTTAGCATGTTGTATGTGTTTCCAGAACCATATCCGAGTTCAGTATAACACAGTCTTATGAACCACACTTTCTCCAGTGTTTGTGCAATTTATTGGGAAACAAAAATGTTCCCAAACCACTGATTATGACTGACTGTAACCAGCTTTATCCGTAACCCACTCACAGCCACATTTATCATAATGTTTTCCATATTGAACATTTACATGTGAATCTAGGTTCTGCCTGTGTCAGGCAATTCATTCGTTTCATTGTGAGTACTGAAATGATATTACCAAACAGCACATGAGGAATTTGTGTACCGTTACAGTCCTACTAGTGATGGCAACTTTGTACAGTTTTAATATTATTATGACTGATTGGTGGTTTAAGAAACATCCATCCATCTCTGGACTGCTTCCGCTGGTGAAGAAAGATGTATATTTTCTATTTTACTGCCATATTTTCAGAGAAATGTATAATTGCTCCATTTAATATACCACTTCCTGCACCAGTTGAGAAGAGAAGTCAAAGTCAGGGCTTTGAGAGCAGCCCCACTCAAGGTTCAAAAATACCCAGTTTCCTGTACTTCCTGTGACCACGTAGGTACCTGTACTGCGGAGAGCTGCTCTTACGCCTGGAGCAGGCCGTCCCCCTGCACAAGCTGGCCACCAAGTATCACGTGCAGGCGCTGCGACGTGGCCTGAGCCTCTATATGAGCCAGCACCTGGCCAGTGATTCACCGGCAAGTCATGTGGTGGGCTGGTACCAGTATGCAGCCCAGACAGGAGACACTGCACTGCGTGACAGCTGCCTGCAGTACCTGTCGTGGAACCTGTCAACTGCGCTGCAGAGCGGCGAGTGGGGCATTTTAGGCTCCGAGCTGTTGCTCTCACTGCTGCAGCGCTCCGACCTGGTGCTACACAGTGAGCTAGAGCTCTATGAGGCGCTGGAGGCCTGGGTGGGCAGGAACCAGCCAACGGAGCTGACGGCAGAGGCGGCACTGCGCTCTATTCGCTACGGCATGATCCCCCCACAGCAGCTTTTTCGGCTGCAGAAGCAGTCACCACTGATGCTGAAGCACCAGGAGTCAGTGCGTGACCTCCTTTACCTCGCCTTCCAGTTCCACTCGGCATCCCCCACGCAGCTCGCCAAGTACTTCGATGTGAACTGCAGCATCTTCACACCTCGCAACTACCTGTCTGCAGCATGGGGCGCCCAGTGGGTGATCAACAACCCCACCCGGGATGACCGCAGCACCAGCTTCCAGACACAGCTGGGTCCCAGCGGACATGACGCCGGAAAGCGGGTGACGTGGAATGCTCTCTTCTCACCACGCTGGCTCCCGCTCAGCACACGCTCGGCCTACGCGGACGGGAGCGCCGTCGTGCAGGCCTCTCGCGCCGATGGGGGCCGCCCACGCATCGTCATCACACCTGCCACCTCCAGTGCTGACTTTGCCGGGGTCAGCTTTCAGAAAACAGTCATTGTGGCCGCCCGGCAGCAGGGCAAAGTGGTGGTCCGGCACATCTACAACTTCCACCAGAGCACTGAGGAGACGGGCGACTTCCTGGCTGAAGCCGATCTCCAGCGAAGGGCTTCCGAGTATCTCATCGACAGCTCCCTCTACCTGCACATAGTGGTCAAGCCCCTCTACCACAGCCTCATTGTGGCCAGGAAGTAACCACACACACACACACACACACACACACACACACCATCCCCATCCCCAGCCAACCCTTTCTGCTCTTAGCAGCTTGACCTTTGTTTTTCACATCTGTAACCAGTGCAGAGAGCAAATCAGCGTCAGGTTTTCCTCATCTGGCTGCTTTTCTCACAGCTTCTACTGACTCCATCCCACTGGCCAGCTCAGTAACACTGAATCAGAGCTCTGATAATGGCACCCAAGATCCATCCTATGGCACGTGTAAATGTCTCCTGTGCTCCTCAAACCGTAGCTTGAGATCTCCAGTATGGTAATGCATTTTCATAACTTCAAATCTGTTTTCTGAGGACTGAATTTGTCTGTGTGATAGTTATTAGGGGTGTAACAATTCTCCAAACCCACGATTCAGTTCAGACCTTGATTCTTGAACCACATTTTTTTTTTTTTTGGGGGGTAAATAAGAAAAAATAGCGGGGATGTTTTCTGCGTTTTTTAATCATGAACAATTTGGAACATTAAAGAGGGTTATTACCCGAGCTAATTAAACTAGCCTAGCTTTTACTCCAGGTGTGATTAGTCAATCATGTTTGGACGAAAATAGTCATGAGACACACGCAGTTGGGAGACAATAAAATAGGTGTGATGTGTAATATTTACCAAATGTCCAGCTTGCCCTAACTTTAAATAGAATAATATTTTAGTCATTTACATGTGTTACAGTGTTAACTGTGAGATGAAAAATGACTGGTGTAACATTAATAACGTAATGAGAGCTCAACATGCTGCAGCTACAGTGCTGGCAGCGGGTTGGAGGTGGGTGTCATGGTTATGTCATCCAGAACCGCATCACGAGATCGTGAATGCTTGTACCATGGTTTGTCTCAGTTTCAGAAGCGTTACACCATTCATACTTATTCAAAATATGCAACATCATCAGGACCTGATTCATGTTTAAATCTTTGCACCGATCTGGGATTTTCTTATTTCTAAGGTGCTACCTGGTTTCCATGAAGAATACACAACACAATACACATACACAGTGAAAGACAGACACATATGCAGACAAACATATGTTTACAAGACTAGCTGTCCATTATATCCAGTTGCATAGGCTCTCCTAGTGTCCCAGTACAAACTACACGTTTTCTGGAAATGATATATAGTATAGTGATGATGCGACCCCAGTTCCCTTTGCGGATGCTCCTTTAAATCAGCTAATCTCTGGTAGATGGAGAAATGATTCTCATACAGCTTTTTTTCTTATAAATAATTCTTATTGTGATTATTTCCAGGATACTAACCTATTGACCCTTTAAAGTATATGACTGTATCTCTGAATTAAGTCATAAAACAAAACATGTTTAGTGTAGTTGCTTCTGTTATTTAATTATGGATATTATTACACCCTTCCCCCACTCCCTGAGCCACACCTCCCTCTGGCAGTCAATTCTCTTCAATAAAGACATTTTTCTCAATTCGCTATCTGTTTATGTCCCACAGCGCCCCTATAGTATAAGCCACAGAAAAACACATCACAGCATAATAAAATATCAGACTACTTGTATTTTTTTGGTACCTGGTTCATGGAGGTAGAGCAGGTAATACCTCCTCTTTTTAGATTAAATTCTAAAACAAGAAGCATAAAGCATTACTATACTTTAATTGTCATTTAAAAATCTTTGAAAAATGTATTATCTTCTTACTTCCTCAGTTTCTTAGCCACCAGTTAGTAATTAACAGATAAAAAGTAAATTGAATTATTTAACAGTTAAGCAGGACAGAATAGTAGAACGGCATGGATAGTAATAAGGTGACAGAAATTACGTGTTTATCAAAATAAAAAGTCGCCGTTGCCCAGTATCAATCACTGCCTAGTACGTATGCTGCAGAACAAGCTGCAGAAAATAGAGGGATCTGCTCCACAGTCCAGCACTCAGCCATGAACGATTCATTGCTTTGTGACAAATTTACAGTTTAAGGGTGAATTCACACCATTACATTTTTAGCTTCCTGTCCATTCAGTAAGCATCACAATACAGGCAATCACCACATTTGTAAATGTTCTCCTATTATGCACAGCAGTGACCATGAAAATGCTGTAATATCAATTTGATTACAAAGGGGATGACAAGCTAGGATCGGTCAGAACAATATAGAAAAAAACATTTCTGAAGAAAAAGCCGATGCATGTGGCAATGCTTGGAATCGCTTACGTTTAAAAACTACATTTACCACAATGCTTTGCTTCGTATGCAGGAAGAACGTCTATTCAGACTCCCACGGATCCAAGTTAGGAGCTTTCAGCTGCCAGCTTTGGCCCTTCATGTAAGTGCAACTGAGCTTTTCCTTGCAGTGTATTTGGAGATTTCCCCCCTCTAGCTTGTTATACGAGTTGTGCATGCACACTGGATTCGTCCGCTTGGAGACTTGCAGCCCAAAGGCAAAACCGCTCCAGTTGCATGTGGAACACCACTTGGATTTTGCACCTTTGTTGCAGTGAGCTGCAGTTGCTCCTAAACAGACAGATGGAGGGAGGGAGGGAGAAGAAAGGCGAAGTCTTTTGTGCATCCCCTCCCCCCCACTCAAGCAAAGGGGAAATGTCCGTGCCCAAAGGAGGTAAGAATTCTGGAGACGTCTGTGCAAAACCACCGTAATGCAGCCTGGATTGCATTTATTGCTGAGTGCATTGCAGCGTTTTCTTTTGGGCAAATGCACCTCCAAGAACACGCAGCTGTGTTTCCTGTTACGGATCTGCCCTTTTGCTGAGTTTCTGCTAAGACCACGTTGGCAACAGTTGGACTGTATATTACGTACAGTCCTACTTCTAATTGCGCTAACCCTCTCCACATCTTACATAGTCGTCAACTCCTGCAAAACAGGGCAGATAACGTAAATGATTTGCATAAACTATTTTAAAGCCAATAGTTATATTCATACTCATTCGATTTGTCATAAAACACATAAATGTATCTGACTCAATGTCTGAAACACTTTGCATTTGTAGAATTACTTTTCAATTATATTTACATTAAAATATTGCTTACTCAAGAAGTTTGTACAATGGATGACATGCTGTGGTGTTGGACGATATTGTGAAGCAGATGTTCCCAGAATTTTAAATTATTTCAACAACTTGACAGTGGATTGTTTTCATTGCCTACGTGCGTAATGGAAAATATTTTCTCTATTTGACGTCTGCTCTTACAGTACGTTGTTCCGGCTGTGTAATAAATATAGTACACTTCACAAATGCAACATGCTAAAGATAGAAGGTTTGTCTCTATGAAACTGACAATATAAAGGGTATTAGCCTCCAAGCAAATTCCAGTTCCAAGCTAGAACTCAGTCCGCAATAAAATGCCGTCTACTGGATATAATTCCAGCATATCTTTTGGGACTAGGACTGGTGCATATCTTCGCCAGTAATATGTTTGTGCAGACCATCGCAAAATTTAATGAATACATAAAATTGTTGTCTGTCGCTTGTAGCTTGTAAATTTACAGTAGAAGATATTCGAATGCACGATATATTCACTTTTTATGATTTCCGGGTCATTGCTTAATTTGTACAAAATGACATTTAATGGTTAAGATATGGGAAAGGTATGAGCGCATTTTTGTCTTAGGAAAGTAAACAGATGAAAACGTCTAGTTTTGATGACTAATCATTGTATTGTAATATTATCACGGCATTTTCTAATCGCACCCTGCCTATATCATATTACCTTAGCCTGTCCTGTTTTGGATTGATAATTACTCGGACTGATAGCATGTAGAGGCCTTTGCTATACTGAAAGGGGATTCCCTTCATACTGTTTTGACAGGCCAGGTCCTGGAAGTATTCCAGTTCAGTTAGTTGTCTTTGCATTACCAAAGCTAATCTTTTCAGGGCACTCTCCTTAACGATTTTTTTTCTGGGACACTTCCACTAGTTGGTATATACGCAGGTATTGCACAGATGACTTTTAAAATGATTTTGTGTCCTTCGTGTACAGCAACGGTGCCCAACTCCAGTCCTGGAGGGCCAGAGCCCTGCACATTTTTGGGTTTCCCCTCATTTAACACACCTGATTCAACTCCTTGTGCTAATTACCACACAGCTCTTGAGCTGAATCATTTATGGTGGAACAGGGAAAGAACTAAGCTACACAGGGCTGCGGCCCTCCAGGACTGGAGTTGGGCACCCCTGGTGTACAGTAATGGAAGCGTTGAAGTATGCCGGACAGCTTGGAGTCAGCAGTCAGTGCAGATTCACATATCTGTGTTCTGAGAGGCAGCTTGATCGAGGCCTAGTTAACCTTATTACTTGGGACCTGTACATTTGTTTCCCTGCCAGTTTGAGACCATCAAAGTGCTGAATGTTCAAACCTTGCTCACTGATGCTACCATGCACTAGATACAGAGAAACTGCAGTTGCCTGGAATTAAGGCCTTGCCACACGTACAGTGGTATTTTTTTAAATCGGTGTTATTCCTCTTTTGTAATTAGAAAAAAATCTCCATCCATATGAAAATGCTAAAATGTGCTGTCAAGAGCATGCCAAACCAACAGGTGGCGATATAACTCCCGTAAAGCCATGCTGGCCAGTCAGGAGCCTTATTACCAGTTCTGCTAGACTAAAAACAGCTCATGTGAACAGCGAACTGCACATGCTCTGACATCAAACAAAGTAGATAACGGCACTATACAGCAACACTGAAAATGCAATTTTTGAATATCTTCACCCTATAGATGAGGCTTTTAAAAAAGCTCAGTTTTCAGTGACGTAAAACACTCTTTGCATGTGGACAAAAGGCCAAAATGCATAGAAAAAGCTATGTTTTAAAAATACCCGTGTACATGTCGACAAGGTCTATGTTACAGTCTCCGATTCTGCGCAGAGGACCATTCCCAGTGTAAACAGCGACACTAATGGGTCGGACATGCCAATAAGCTGTAATTTTATTCACACAGTGATTCTATTTTGAGGCTTGTTTTAGTGTAGTGGAAGCAACAACTGCGGCTGATGTTATTTTTTGTTGTTTTATTATTCTGTCGGGTGAATTTACTTATCTACCTAGTTCAAAACACCTGTTGAAATTTGAACACTTGCATAATGGTAGGTCGGCGCAAAAAATAGCGTTTTACAACAACTGAGAGGATGGAGGGCTGCTCATCTTAAGCATGACGTGGAGAATTTTCCAAAAGTGTATGGATCACCTTTGAAGCAGAGCAGCTTTAGGTTTAGGATTCTTTGTCATTTCTGGGCCTTCTGGCAACACCAGCAACATCAACACAACCTTCAGCAGTCTTCTGGGTCTTGTCACACAAACTATGTGCAAACTCACCAGAAACAGCCTGATCTTGCAGTCTGGCCACGTCCAGCCTCATTCTCCTACTAGGTGGTAGCTTACTGGACCTAAACTGAATCTTTAGGGCAGTATCAACAAGTCTGTGGTCAGTTTCTGCCCATGAGGATCAATCATCTTCACCACACCACCAGTATTGGAGGACCGAGTCCAATCATACTGCTCAGGGAGCTGGAACCAGGATCCAGCGATTCGCAGCCCCTGTCCTGAGGAACATGCATATGGACTCCTCATAGCTAGCCCTGTCAGTGCCAGTGGTCACAATGATGTCACCAATGACCAGAGGAGTGTCACCTTGTGGGAATCCATCAACCACTGAGCAAAGTTGCGAATAATAAGTCTAGGGGCCGATCCATATTTTTTCAGTTCTGATCCGATTCCGATACACAACTGCCAATACTGATGAAGATTCCGATACAAGGGCTGTTTTTACTTAAAAAAAAAAAAACTTGATGTATTATTAATAAACTAGTAAATACAAATGGAAAAAAATGTATGCCAAAAAATCTTTAATTAGGCTACTCGAAACATGCGTACTGTACTGATCCACCTCGTTTTTACATCTTGTTAAGCAGTTTTGAGGCATTTGCTGTTCAATTTGAATACCTTCCAAGTGAGTATATGCAAGTGGCGAATGCTTAAAATGCCCCACAGTTTTTCTCCAACTGGCAACAGTGTCACTTACACATTGTTGCGATAGCAGCCCCTCATGTATCAAAAACTGTAGCAAGTGCCCAAAATAGCCCAACTAGTGATCCCCAAATCATTCATTGCATTTTTCATATTACTCACACAATTCTGTGCGCTTTGTTTTGAGGGATTTTTCACTATGTGCTTCCTCCACTTCTCAAAACTTTGTTTTTATAAAGATTGCAAATTGTGGTGCTACTAAATGCTTCAAGCATAAAATGCTTCCAGGTGGCAGACTTTTGCTGGTTTGCCTTGCAAGTATGCAAATTGAATTTGCTATCATCACCCTCTGTTCTTAAGCTCCTGTTGCTGCAGAGGGTATGCGCATGACATCTCAGCAGGCAGAAGTCACTGTGCTCACAGCGACTGAGTGGCAAAACACTGAGTAGGGAAAGAGCTTTTGTGCGATCGATTGTTCAAATTGATTTAACAACAAATAGGAGCTAACTTTTTACAGACTTTCAAAAACTAAATAAGTAAGTATTGGACGTGGATCAATCACTTGTGGCTGATACCTGATCCATCTAATAGGTATGGAACTGTGCCCACTTGGATTGGTGCACCTCTAAAAAAAACGTACTGGTTCTGGTGACATCCCTGCTTCCAAGGGCTTCCCCTCATTCCCTTCATGATGCGTGCATCCTTCCTGTGGGGGGCTGCAGCAGAGCTACTCACGCGGAGGGCAGCCTTCGCCACTGGTGTATGAATGTGTGTATGAATGGATGAATGTGAGGCATGAATTGTAAAGCGCTTTGAGTACTTGTAGGAGTGGAAAGGCGCTAGATAAATGCAGTCCATTTATATACATATATGCAAAAATCAAATAAAATTAAATACTTTGTACAAAAGACAAAAGAAAGTCATCAACCTGTCATCTGGGCCTTTAACGCCAGTTCAGAAGTACCCTTGTTATTGTCATTGTTGCCGGTACCATTACTAGCATTATTGTTACTGTTATTATTATTATTATTATTATTATTATTATTATTATTACGATCAAGACTACTACTATTATTATTGCTGCTAACATCATATATGTGTATATATTTTTTTTCTTTCAATTTTTTTTCTGGTAAGTGTTGCTCTGCTGAGCTTAGTAGGTAGTGTGGTTAAGAGCCCTGAGTACATTTGTGCTGATTTTGACTTGTGGTAGAAGCATTGGTGCGATCTCTCGTTGTTGTGAGGGGTCAGCACAGATTTAGGGATTTGGGATCGTTTTATTTGTATTTATTTACCCCCCCCCCTTTTTTTTTTCCTTTCCTCCCCTTCATCCTCTCTCCTCAGTGTCGGAGACTGCTCATACTCAGGTTATCTAATACATGACTGGGTCTGATACGGCGCCTATCAGCTCGACGCATTACATAACTTGGAACGTCAAAGGGATACATCATCCCATAAAACGCTACAGGATCTTCTCACAATTGAAAACCTTGGGGTCTGAAATAATATTTCTACAGGAGACACATCTCCGAACCAGTGAGCATTCGAAACTAAGAAGAGGGTGGATAGACCAAATATACCACTGTAATCACAGTAATAGATCCAGAGGCACTGCCATATTGATAAGAAAAGGTGTCC